AAGCACAGAGCCTGATGCTCAAGTTTCACAAGGAAGAACAGTCCTGGGGTGTGCATGTGTGTGTGTGCGCACGTACACACATGTGTATATTATATAGAACCTTCAGGCATGCTTCTAAACAGTTGACAGAAAATCCGACAGAATGAAAAATGCAAGCCTTCCACCCGTGTCCAAACAGCATAGCACAAAACACCTCCGGTTCAAAGGCTTAGAAGAATAAACAACCTTGCCTTGTGCCAAGAAGGGATTAATGCTGACATTCAGCAAAGCCTTCCTTAGTGAGGGAATTCCACAGGTGGCTGCCCACCACTGATAAGGCTCTCTCTGGTGCCACCTGCCTGACCTCAAGTGGCAGGAGCCCGAGGAGCTGGCTGTCAAAAGTGATCTCAATACGCAGGCAGGTCGGCACGGGAGTTGGGGTTCCTTTTCTCTCTTCATTAGTGGCCACGATAAACTGTTGAACCCAGATGCTTGCTTGAGTAAATAGACTGGGGGAAAGCAATGCACGACATGATCAGCGAGTGGTAAAACTTGCAATCTTGCCAGGTTTTCTTAAAATCAACCTACAATTGGCATCAGCAGCTGCACCAGGCTAACGACATTTGCTGCTGAAAAGACTCTCTGTTTCCTTTATTGAGCTTATTTGCAGCCCCTCTTCCTGTGGTTAAAGGGCATGTTCCATCTTAGATTGCAATTCAGTTGGCAGAAGGCCACTCTATTTTCTACCTTGATGCTATTAAAGCACCTTATTGCAGCATTTATTTGGGAACTAAAGCATGCAGTTTTATTTACAGCACAATTAAACACCGGTACAATTACCAAATTGAGGGAAGAAACTTTACCATGGACACTAAATTATTCCTAATAGACTTTGTTAGTCAGTAAATTGTTGTTAAGCAGGTAGAACACTTCATTTCAATTACCATGATATGTAGATGTTCTCCATCTTTAATGTCTAAGTTGCACGTGTTTTTATACCAATAAAACATTCTCATAGTTCTGAGGTGCACATTTTTCTGGAGTGACAAGGAAAGGTACCGTTCCAGCCCAATCAGCCACCAAGAGATTCCCAGAGCCAGTATGGTATGGTACATGCCGTCCATGGCTAGGGAAGTTCAAACGTCCACTCATACATAAAACTGCTGAACAGAACAACTGGGCCAGGCATGTTCTCTTAGGGTTGGTGTGAGGCTAAAATAGGACGGGCCCATTTATGCCAATGTGTCTCCGAGTTGTTTTATTTACAATCTTAGGGAGGATATAAATAAAGTAACAATTCTGCTTATGCTAACTAAAATAAATTTCCTCAGAGCTCCCCGGAAAGGTTCTCCCTGCAAGTTCTCTCCATATGTTTCTTGATTTCTGATTTAGGTGGCAGTTTTATAAATCAATGTATGCTAACCTGAATCGGGCAATTTTGGAGAAGACTGTACCATCGCATCATTATTCTCTTCATGGAAACTTAAGGTTTACTTCGTGGAGCACTTAAAGGCTGAACAAGTGCTCTGGGAACCTAGCTTATAGGTATTATTCCCAATAATAGATGCATAGGCACCATCTGGGTGATATAAATTAAGGCATTCTTGCACACCTACACTCTAAATTAATTATCATTTCATTGATCTTCCTTCTGTTCCAGTCCACTTCTCACAAATGGCTCCATATGTTGTATGGCACAAAACAAACCAAGCTTGAACAACATCTTGATATCCCTGAGCTACTGATTAATTTGAGTTATGACATCCGTAAAACTTGTCTCCCCCTCGCCGTTGCATCATTTTTTAATTAAGCGACCCATTTCAAGAATGGGCCATTTCAAATAATTCAAACCCTGCTTTTCCATCAAGAGTTTCTCTAAGTTCTTCTCTACTCCTTACTTGTCTTACTGAACATCTGGGGTGAAGATCCCTGGCACTTTGGCAGGGCTGGCCCTACCATTAGGCAAAGTAAGATGCTCACCTTGGGCTGTACAGATGTTAGGAGGCAGCAGGCAAGTGCTGGAAGAGTCAGTGTTGTCCCATGTGGTCCATTTTGTACCACCTAAGTTAGTTTGCTGACTTCAGGTGTGGTGAAGGAGGGTCTCCCAGCACCTGCCATTACAAGGAAGATTCACCAGCCAGTCCCATCTGATTTCCTTGGATGGGGATGCCATCTTGATCTTTGTCTCAGGTAGCAAAATGTCTTTGGCTAGTCCTACACCTTGGCTATAGGTAAGATGGCTACAGGATGCTTCCAATCATAAAGGAGGGTGGTAAGGGTGTTGTTCTTCTGCTTCCTTCATGCACAAAATCTCCCAGCTTCACAATGGGAAAGATGTAAAAGGATACGGATGCAATATATCAGTGAGGTGGAAGAGTGGAGCATGGTATTGGTAGAGAGGGCCAAAAGCTACAGGCATATCATGGCAGTCTCAGGCCAGAATTAAGATTATTCCTTTTTTAAAAACACAGGGGTAACTTCTCAACCTGATCCTGTGTAGTGAATCATAAATGAACGATTCATTCTGACACCATATTATGGTGAGACCAAATTCTGCCACCATATTATGAGACTTCATACTGGTTTCTATTGCTTTGTTTACTAACACTGAGGTAAAGTATTACTACCACGTTTGCAAAGCTCTCTGCCCCCTCCAACACCTGAAAAATTGGTCTTTGTTAACCTCATCTTATTCTCAGTGACCAGTGGAGGCAACCAACTCCCTTCCCTTCCAACAATGCCCCTGGGAACAATGCGACATTGTGGTTTCTGCTGGTGTTGCACTGGCCATGACAATGACTAACTGCCACATGACAAAGGTCTGTGTGTGAGTTAAAAGTGGTGGACAACTTGTAAACCAAAACATCTGGCGCTCTCATCATACCACACCAAAACTTATGATGGCAGGCTAGGAATGATGGGAGTCGTAGGCTAACACATCTGGAAAGCCCTAAGTTGCCCACCCTTACTGTAAAAGAAGGCCTTCTCTGGTCGGAATAGAATGCCTCTTGTCTCCTTGAAATCACTAGAATTCACCCTGTTTGAAAAGGGCATTTTGTGCCATGTTTTCACAACAACCTCCCACTAAAGGCTCCTGAAAAAAGTCTAGGCAGACTCCTAAATATGCCCTCGCCATAATTTCTAACCAAAGAGGGGTAAAGTTGGAAATTCTTAGGGAATTTCAGATATTGGCAGAGATTCATTTAGACTCTATGCTGATCCGAATGGAGATGTTTGAGCAATGGTTATGAAGACCTGGGGCAGGACTAAGAGAGAGGTACCGTCTCATTTGAGCCTCTTATGGTGATTACTATGGATTCTGTCAACAAAAATATAACCATGAGAAGAATTACATGTATCTGTAGAAATAAATCAATACCTGATTTAAACACCTGGCACAAAAAGAGAAAGTAAATTGTGTGCATCCTGATTTAGCTTGGCTTAGTTTTGTTTTATAATGATGACAGTCATAATAATATTGCGTGGTGAAGCCTTCAGTCCTTACTGTAGGCAGAGGACCTTTTTAAAAAATGAAAAACCCAAACGAGCATGTTTAGCTACCAACCTGTCACCGTGCTGAGTGGCCTTTGATTTCTAAAGAGCCAGAAAAATAATGCCCCATGTAGTGAGAGCATCATTTTAAAAATGATCAAAAATACAGCACTAGGTTAACTCTAGTATATGCACTGTGTACCTTGCACCTGTGCTTGAGGTACCTCTTTCCAAAACAGTCCGAGTACCTCTGAGTCATACATGCCTCCTTGTTTTCCAGGAATATTCAAGGACAGAAAGAACAAACAGACAATGTGGTTTCCCCAGCTGTCCGTTGCCTAATCAAAGATCTTTGAAGGTCTTTTTATTTTTTATTTTTTACTTCAAAAGAGTATACAGGTCTGCACATGTGAGAAAGTTCCCATTAGAACTGCCAATTTTTATTTTATTTCTTTAACCCTTGTAAAAGGTGGACATGCCTTGTGCAGCTGCATGACCAGGGGAAAAATAAGGGAAAAATCGCTCTTGCTTGGATTTTGTATTTATCTTTTATCCTTTGTTAATTACTTTCAGGGCCTTTTTGTCTGAAAGACCGGGGAATACACTTATAGCAAAATAATACAGTTGCAAGGGAAATGCTGTTAGCACGAAGTTAGAGCTACAGTGTTGGACAGAGCTTTGTGAGCCAAAATTCAGCAACTGGATCTTAGTTGCCCATTCAAGCCAAGCCACTCTCTCCCCCATAAAATAGTTTACATTACACAGGGAAAAATACATTGTTGCTGGGAAAATTAATTCCCTCCCAGCAACTGTGAGAATTGTGAAATAAGCGAGCTTTGATGAAGGCCTTGAAGAAGCAATCGGAATTGGCCAGAGGAGCACGCAGTTGAAGGATACGCTGGGAACAGGCAGCAACAGAGCGTGAAGCGAAGGGATAGGATGCAATCGAAACAAAGGGTTTGTTGGGACGTTTGCTTCATCCTATCCACAGTCGTGTGGACGAAGAAAGCAACGGCACAGCATCTGCATTATGGGGGGAGCCTGAGTACATAAATCAGGCTGTCCTCTACAGATACCCCCTGCAAGCCTGGATGGGGTGGGGGCACAAGCAGAGGACCTCATTGCCCTGCTGGCTCCTTCCCGGTGATTGCTCACTGCACAAGGGAAATGCTCTAACAGGGCCAGGGGAAGATGAGAGAGAATCTGGGTGGGAAGGAGAGACCTGGACGCTTGCAGAGCTGAGCTACACATTCTGACTGTGGATGGAGGGGGTGCCTGAAATGTCCTCAGCCTCTCACTTTGATGAAGCACACCATAATGAGGCCAACGCCGTGCACGTGCAAGACACAGCCAACTGCAGCAGGAAGGAAAACCAATAGGAGGCTGGCACAATGGACGGCTTGGCCATTGCATACATTACGGCTCTCTTTCAGAGCAGTGTCACACAGAGGCTGTTTTAGATACATGGGAACCACAAGAAAAAAGGTACCGGTGGCATTTCCTCATCGATAAAAGAAATGGCACATATGCCTGAGTTCTACAACCCTTTATTCTTTTGAAAGCATTTGAATTCTTTCGTGTCACTCTGATCCAGGAAGGTAGGACTCAAGGAAGAAACTTCCCTAGCTGGGATTATAATTTGGCATCCACATGGATCGCAACAAACGGGTCTTCGGCAGAGTTGCTGATCTGAAAATGAGCAGTGCCGTCTCCACTGACTTCGATTTTAATTGCACTGCAGTCGTTCCCCACCTTGTCCCCAGAGATGACATCACAGTAAGTGCCTGCTGGAAGGCCAGTCTGCAAAGTTTCAGACATGTTCCTGTTTAAAAGAAATAACAGGAATGGAAATTTAAATAGTGATGGATTATCGTAGTTCTACTATCTAGGACAGAGATGAAAAACATCAGATTTGGGGAACAAATATGGCCAAACTGGGAACCAATTCCAGCCCTTTGGGGTTTCCTAGATGAACAAATCCCCTGTGTACCAAAAATTTGAGGATTTCCCAGTTCTGTGCAGTTTTTTTCCCGTTCTAAAAGGTTGAGCTGCTTCTCCTAAGACTTATGACTGCCATAAAAGCTTTAAGAGAAAATATGATATTTTCTCTTTTGCCTTCAAAGCTACATACTACCAGAATGCTTTTCCCAGCCCAGAGCTTCTTCAAAATTGAATTCAGCCCCCAGGATGAAAGAAATTCATACCCCTGTTCTAAGACTATCGTTCAGCTATGCAAAGCCCAATACCGAAATGAGATTTCCCTTCCTGAAAGCACTTGAGTCTGTAGGTACAATCCTGACCTTTTAAAGCACAGCATTAAGGATGCTAAGTGCCCACTGCAGTTTGCTGAATGCTTGGTACCATGTAGCTTCATGCCTCAGCTAGGAAGATCTTTCTGCAAAGTCCCTGCTGACTTACCAGTCATCATTATTAAAGACAATGAATCCTTTGCTGCCACGTCCAAAGGCTACTTGATTGCTGTTATTGTCCCACCAGTTGGTGAATGGCTCTCCGTCCACAACATTGCGGAAAATAACCATGTTCCTTTGCAGAGAAATTGCAGCAAATGGTAATTAAGACACTAGCATAAATATAGGAGGCACTGCTAATATCGAAAGAAGAGTTAAGCATGATGAAGGCAACTGAACATGGTGGTCTTCAGCATGCTTATCTTGGGCTTGGATTGGAGCCATCAAGAAGGTACACTTCCCAACCTTATTTGACGCCAGCGATGTTCACAGACCCAGCCATTGCCACAGGTAGTGTCTGGATTAATTGTAACAGCTTTAGTTGACCCATCATCATTGCTTGGCGGTCCAACCCAGTCATTCACATCCTGGTTGTTAAAGATGAATTGATGAAACAGAACTATTAGACTATACAGATGAAAAAAGAATAAGGCTGCGAATGGAATGAATTCTCAGAATGTCTACGCTAACTGATCTGATTGAGAGCATAATCCTACATTGTTGGAAGATGCCGGGACTAAGGCCTGATCAATGCAGGAGAAGGAGGTAAAAAGAGGCAAAAGGGGCCTGAGATGGTAGGAAGGACAGAAGCATTTCAGACTGCAGTGAAGAAGAGCCATACTGGATCAGGCCAAAGGTCTATCTCGCCCAGGATTCTGCTCCCAGTGTTCAACCAGCTGTGGGAGCCCACAAGTAGGCCTTGAGTGCAACAACAGGTGGGTGCAACACTATGAATGAGCCTCATACCTACAATTAGAAAGCAGGCCTAGCCAGGAGGCACCTGGGCTAAAGCCTCTGTGATGTGCTCGCGGGGTTTATTTAGGCAGTCTTGTACTTGGAGGCGCATTCACAAATGGCATGCCCCACTTATAGGCTGAAGCAGTACAGTCTACTCGATTGCCTGGCCCATTATTCTATTAAACATGCACACCAGGAACCACCTTGAGCTATATCTGGAGAGCATCTTCAGAACTATGGTGCCAGCAGCAAGTTAAAGAAGGCTATGAGCCCTGCCAGCATTTCATTCAATGTTAAGTAGAGCACATTAAGCCTGAAACCTTTAAAGTCAGGGCAGCTTTTAAAAATGGCAGGGCCTGCTCCAGCTGGGCATCAGACCATGCATGATTATTCTTCAGAGATGCATAGGTCTAGCGGTTATGAAATAATCACAGGAAAGATGCTATTAGAACACAGCAGAGCATGGAGGAGACTGGAGCTGAACAGCACAACCTTAGTCATGTCTACTGAGAAGTAAGTCTCAATGAGCACAACAGAGTTCATTCCCATATATTCAATAGCAGGGCTTTGAATCTCTCCGTGACTCCTGCCCCACCCACCAAAAATATTTCCCACCAGAAGCCCCAATTTACTGAAGCCTAAAATGGCCCTCAGCCCTAAAGGTTGCGGGCCTCCTCAAACTTGTGGAGGGCGGGATACACATACTTTATACTCAGTCAATACATATAGCTAGTTAATTCATGCTACTTCCTGTTATTGCACAAAAGAAACTTACCCTTCCATTCTCAAAATACCTTGGCCAGCGGAAACTAGACATCACACGGGTAAAGCCGTATGGGTGAGCAAGCATGAAACCAACTCCCATTTTATAGAGCCTGAACACACGCAGAAAAAGACAAGGAAGGCATCATCAGAAGCCAAGATTTAACCTTTACTCAGTCAGAGGGGAGAGAGGAGGACTCAGTCCAGCTTTCAAAAATATTCCTCACCTGGCATCCCAGAAAGTCAAAATGGAAGCTCCACCAGCACCATGTCCCCTCTGATTATCATGATTATCAACAAAGACAAGGGCTTTATCAGAAGGCATGAAACCCCAGCCTTCTCCCCAGTTCCTAAAGAAGATGAACAGGTTCAAATGAACACATCAATGTTTTTAATGATGCACAAGAATCTTATGTTTGGACTGTAATTTTTCTCAAGTATCTGAAATAAACTAACCTCAAATACATCATCTTTTCATTATTCCACTTGCGAATGACAGTCCCTAGTTTTGCACCATATTTGAATTCAGTTACCCGACCATTTCCAAAGTACTCGCTGGATTGAATTGCTTCTCCACCCAGATCAATCACCTGGTAGAAATGAAAAATGCTATTATGATATAGTAACCTCTGAGTGGAAAAGAAGGGGGTGCAGAGAGAGAGAGAGAGGCAGGGAGAGAGGGCAAGTCAACCTTGCATGCAACCAGTTATCTTCTGATGTAGAAAAGGGATGAAAGGTCCCAAAGATATTTCCCGCATCTCTAACCAAATGCCTTTCAGTGGTAGCAGTTCAGACATTCAGCTCTGAGCCAGCCGGTGCTGACTCATCCCTAGATCTGAGGTCCCTCTCAACCTCTGGCCCATCAGCAGGTCTCCAAACGTCCAGCATTCCTACAAAAACAGCAAGTACATCTATCTACCTACCTTTGTACTACCTGCTGACAGGCTTTTTATGCTGTGATGTAGCTTGGGAATCACAGACCCTGACTCTAATGGCTTTACCTAGATGGCCTTGTGCATTGCTCCAATTGTGAAGCATCCAGTGAGCATCCAACTGCCCTTCCTGCCCTCTGTGCTTTCTATCCGCTCCAACATTCCACGCAGGTTACAGCAAAACACCAAAAAGCAATATGCCATTCCCAGATTTTTTTTAACTCTCCGAACATGTGAACTTTTGCATTTTCAGCTTGCTCAGAGCATAGCACCAATCTGACTGAAACAATAGCATGGCGTTTTTGTTTGCCAAACACCTTCGCTTAGTAATAAGCGCCCTTTTGTTGCTCTGTCATTGTTCTGTGCTGTCGCATCATCTCTGACTCATGGCAGCCCTGACAGCTCTCCAGAATGTCCACTCTGTGACAGCCCTGCTCAGCTCTTCTAAATCCCATGCTGCAACTTCCTTCATGGAGTCAATCCATCCCTTATTTGGTCTTAGTTTTCTTCTGCCGGTGACTTCCCCAGCATGATGGTCTTCGTCAGTGATACTTGCCTTCTCATAATGTGTCCAAAATAGGAGAGGGCAATATAAGGTGAAAAATAATAAATACATACCCAGCCAGCTGCCCATTGACTAAAAATGCTTTCAGAAAAGTAGACGGAAGACAGGATACTTCAGCGTCTGGCATGACCATGCTAGGCAGGGAATGGGGTTGGGCTTCTTTGCCACAGCCTCATCACCTGAAGCTTCCTGAGGGGTCGCTGGGGAAGGGGGGAGCGAGGCTGGGCAGGGCCACAGAGCCCTGGACATAGGTCCCTGAGACCTGCCTTGGCCACATTCCTGCTTTGACCCTTGCTGCCCTCTCACAGGGGAGCAGAAGAGGGCTTGCAACCAAAAGCATGCTGCTAAAAACAGTGCTGGGGGAACGAGGGCGATGTGGGTCCTGATGGCCTCCCTACTCCAGACCAAGAAACACCCTCTGCATACTGGGGGCTCCTTTGCAGGGGCAAGTGCTGCCGTGCTGCATCCCAGATCCTGCCAGGTTGTCAGATCACAACCTGGCACAAACACCCCCCTGTTCAATGAGAAATTTCACAGTGAATGTCCTACACCTTCCATTTTCTCCATAGCTCTCCATAAAGAGAGTTTGTCTCTGCATAACATGTTGAGTGATCCTAAAGTTCTGGCCTGACAAGTATGCCTGTGGGAGACAGTTGTTTGCAAATACATTTCTATGGTGTCAGCTTGAATGCCCGAGTGGCTCTCTTCATGAGCGTGGCTTCTAGATCGAGAGAGGTAGTACTGCCACTCTATGCGACTCTGGTGCACCCGCAGCTGGAGTATTGTGTTCAGTTCTGGGCCCCTCATTACAGGAAGGATATAGCCAGGTTGGAATCGGTGCAGTGAAGGGCTACAAAGATGATGGCTGGTTTGCAGGGGATGGGGCATGAGGCGAGACTGAGGGAACTGGGACTCTTCAGCCTGGAGAAGAAGAGGCTCAGAGGGGATATGTTGGTGACATGCAGGTATGTGAGGGGATGTCACATGGAGATGGGTAGAGACCTGTTCTCCCCTGCAGAGGAAGGCAGGATGCGCTCCAACGGAGCAAAGCTCAGGGAGCCAAGGTTCCATTTAGATGCCAGGAGGCACTTCCTGACATCTAATCCCGAGGGTGTGGAATGGGCTTCCACGAGAGGTAGTTGAGGCCCCATCGGTGCGGGTGTTCAAGGACAGGCTAGACATGGTGGGCATGTCATGAGTAGAGCCGACTGGAGCCAGGAGTCAGACTAGATGGCCCAGGAGACCCTTTCTGACTCGCTCTGTTTCTATGCTTTGTGTGACTATATCATCATACGAAGCATCCCGTGATCAACACTGTAGTTTCAACGCATCCACATGCATGGAGAAGAACAGGGCTGCACTTCTTCACAAGGAGTGGGCATGAACCCATGCACGTGCCATAGATTTGTGGAACTGAGGCTACAAATCAAAGTATGTGTATATGTAACACTTAAGTGGACTCCGGGGGATGGTGGAGGACAGGAAGGCCTGGAGGAATGTTGTCCATGGGTCACGATGGGTTGGACACGACTTCGCGACTAGCAACAACAATATGCAATACCACCTCCAAGATCATATGGCAAGGCACCCCTGGGGGGCCCTTAGAGGTGAAACACATCTCCAGGGTGGTCAGTTCACCTCCAGCCATCTTGCTCCAAGCAAAGTGAGCATGGTGTGGAAAGCCATGCTGAGCTTGGGGACACAGCAAATGTCCCACCTTGCCATCTTTCCAACCTGGCCTCATATGCATTTAGTGTTTATCTTCAAAATAATGAAAAGACAGACGGATGGACAGATTACCTCTTGGAAAATGAAAGGCCTTGTCCCTTCAGCAAACCATTCAGTGTTCAAATTTTTTAGCTTGTCTAAAAACGCTTTCATGTCCCCAGGCCACATATGCTTGGACGCATCAATTCGAAACCCTGCTACTCCAATGTCAATGAGGTGGTTCATATACTCTGCAACTTTGGAGCGCACATAGTCTTTCTCTAGCGCAAGGTCGAGGAGGCTAACAAGGCGGCAGTCACGAACCTGTTTGAAAAGTGGATTTGAAGACATCAGTTCACCTTTTCACACCATCAAAACGCAGCTCTAGCTCAGTGGCAAAGCACAAGCTGTGCATGCAGATCACCGTTCTGGGGCACTTCGGTGCAGAGGGGACTTCTCTGGGGCCAGGCACCCCCTCTGGTCTCAGCATCTCCTGGGACTGGGAGAACAGTCTTGCCTTAGGAGAGGCTGATTTCAATGTGAAGTTCATACAGAGAACTTCCCTCCTCTAGGGAAGGGCACTGCTTGCTAACAGGAGCCATCTTTCATGAATTTATTTCCCCACCATGCTGGCAGTTCTCTGCCAGCACACACCTACAGAATTCGCACAGGAAGCAGCACTAGGCCAAATGAGGCTATCTTCTGACACAGTGGCCATGTTGAGATGTAGAACTAAACCAGGGGTGGGGAACTTAAGGCTTGCGGGTTTCTCTGCTGCCTCATCTTTGATCAGGGAGGAGAGGTGTGAGATTTCCTCTACTGCTCTACTGTTACAACAAGGCTGCAAAGAACCTCCACTGGGACCCATGGAGTGTTACATCTTCCGTGCAACAAGGGGACAAGGGGATTTTCAGGGAGGGTTGCTATTGGAGAGGGAAAAGCTGATCACATACTTTTGTTAATTTCTCTGCAAAGAGTGTTCCTTCACTGCTGCCATCTGGATCTTTAAAAGTCTGGCTTTTGACCTATAGGTTGCCGGGATGTGCACTATGCAAGCCACTTTTGCATATTGTAAACAGCCTCCAATCTGCACAACTTGACAGTCAAGTGTGACAGACTGATTGGTTATGCAGGGGCTAAACAACCCAGCAATTAACCCAACAACAAACCATTGGTTAATTATTGGGTTTTTTGGCCCCTAACCAACCCGTTGTTCTAGGTTTGTACATCATCCTAACCACCTCCAAGCATTCCAACTGCAAATTGTTTATAGTACCTTCAAGTGGATTGCAGGTCTCACATATCCCCACAAATCAGTGGCTAAATAACTCACAATGTGCCTCCATTTAAAGCAAACTAGGTCACTCTAGATTTATTTTCAGGGAAGATAAATGAATGGAAGTTGGAAATAGGAAACTACGGAGCAGATTGTGCTAAGACAGTGTCATCAGCTGATGACTGATGACCCCAGCACTAACCATGCGTCCTGGGGACAGGATAAGAGTGGCACTGGCGTGGCAGAAAGGCTATCATTTACATTCCTGTGCATCTCGTGGCATCAAAGCCGCCATCAGATCAGAAAGCCATCTTGATAAATGTGAAGTTGTAGTCAATAGAATTGCACTTATGATTCTGCCTAGCAAAACATGCTTTATAGTGTGCCATCTTCAGTATCTAAGCATGTTATAGAACAAATACATTTATCACCTGCATGTTGTTCCATGAGCTACACTTTATATTTAAACTAAGCACTGGTAGTAGCCTGTGAGATGTTAGCACATCCTTGCTGCGCCCTGCAGAGCTCCAGATCGCTAAGGAACTAATGCTAAAAAGGTAGTTCCCAGCAACTTGGTTTAAACGTGAGGCTGGGGACATCCTATCGCACACAGATATGTCGTCTGAGCATGCACAAAGTCACATTTAAGCCAGTCTCAAATAATAAAAATTGGAGAAGAAAGGCAAGGAAGAGTGTATCATCACCGCCATCAGGAATACCAAAAGTTTACCTGGTATGGATCATCATAATTTTCAATCTCACCACTTGGAGTTCTGCATTTCCCATCATTGAAATCCCAGCTTGAGTAGGGGACCGCAGGAAAGTCTCGGGTCCCTGAATTAAAATAGCTTCCACAGGTGGAGTGGGTGCCAGACCCAGCCGCAGCTCCACACATGTGGTTGATTACTGCATCCACATAAATATGTACCTGAACAGGAAATAGATAGATATATTTACAGTTATATTTGCGGAACAATGAGAAAGGGTAACCCGCCTCTCACTCTCACAATAATGTAACATTCCCCTTTTGCTTTAATCATGACACTGCAGGTAATGTGCTCTTTGGGTAGACCAACAGATGCAAATCCTAATCCAATGAAACTGGAAACGTGCCTGAGAAGCTTGTAATAGGAAATGTCCCATCAGATCTTGCAACATTCATACATCCACAAGCTGGCAGCCTTTGTTGCTTGCCTGCCATATGGAGATACTGATGCTGTCCTACCTTAAAGGGCTGTTGTAAGCACCTACGAGATAATATTTGCGTGATATGCTTTGATCATGTGCTACAAACATCTGAAGTATTCCCATCCTCGCTGGCTCCTTATTCTCTTCAAAGCACAGTCCAAGGGGGCCTTCAACAAGGGGCTTGATCTACCCTAGAAATGGCTTCCTTGGTTGGTTCCCGTCCCAAGCTTTGCACTCTTCTGAGGAGGCACACATAACAAACATGCATCGAGTTCAATCGGTCTCTTTCCCACCCTGCCTTTTGCAGACTTTCCTGGCTCCAAGCCTGAACACAGTTTGGGTGAAGCTTATGAACTACCTTTGGAAGGGCCTTTGGGGCTCCACATCAGGAAAGCATAGGGAAATGTATTAATTTAGGGGAGATTATTTTCTGTTTTGCTGGTGTTGGATTTCTTACCCGTCCTCAGTCTTAACAATGGAGGACGTTATGAATCTAACTTAAAGGAAACACTCTGTGGGAGATTTTGTGGGGTTTGTGGCACAATTAAGTGGTTGGGCATGGCTGAACGCGACAGGGATGTGGGGCGGGGGTGGAATACCAGCATATTTTAGCTTAAAATTATAAATGGCTAAAATCTCCTACCCTGAGGGAACTGCTCCTAAAATCTCTACCCTGAGGGAACTGCTCCCACCTGCAGGGAGAATGCTCCATTGATCAATTCCACAGATGGGGGTTGTTTTTCCAGAAAAAAAATATATCTGGGTCTAAAGAACTCCCCACCATTATCACTCGGAGTGCCACAACTCCCTCCTTTTCACCACCAGAGAGAGCAATTTGTATGGATCCTAGACATGATTTGAGGGGCGTAAGAGACTAGGGGTTCCCCTCTCCCAGATCAGAGATGGCACTCCAACTTGGAAGGGAAGCTAGAGATCCAGCCCTGGTGCCCCCATACAGCCAGCATGGAAAGAACTGTACTAGTTGGGGAAAGTGACCTTGGAGAGAAGGGAAAGGGGGTGTTTAAGTGGCATTGTTGGAAGCCAGTGAGGCCAGGATACAGGTTAGGTGACTCCTTCCCAGTTTCCTCCCCTCCTCCTCCCAAGCAGTCCAACTAGCCTATCTAGCAAAATAGCAGGATGGGAGGATGCAGGGGCTGAGGCTTGCCTCTGCCACTCCTCCGGCTGTGGTGGAGGAACAGAAGATGCTGAGCTCAAGGGTGTCTCATGTTCAAGGACTTCGTCAACAGGGTCATGCCTTGGGGATATTTTAACACCTCCCAGTACTTTGGCTTGAGAAGCTTTGGGTGTGAGATGGGCAAAGTCACTGGAGTTGAAGCGAACTATGAAATAGCTGCTTTATTACAAGGATATTATGTGCATAAGAGAATGCTTTACAGAGTGGTTTTAAAAAGACTGCTAATCATTCTTAAAGGTCCAAGAGATGATGTGGCTACTGAAAGCCTTTCTTGGCTTCTTTTACTGCAGACTAAACTCGCCCAACTTCCACTCCAGCCGACTACCCTCGCAACCAGGAACAGCTTCTGTAAGAGCCTTTCCTCTGACACCCAAACTCCTGTTGTATTTTGGGTTGTTAGGACAGTAGGTCTGATTTTCACTGCATGTCTTGAGTGAGCTCTTAGGGATGCTGCTAACATAACATCGCCACCAGCTCCCTATGGCACATCTGCACCCGCCACGGTTGGTTATCCCAAAGAGAAAGAATAGCTTTCTCATCAGCGTTTCCTCATGCTATTGAACGATCCACACCAAAAGACTTTCTCCCCAGATCATCCATCAACTGTGCTCCAAATTTAATCAATCTAATTACTTATGGGTGGTCTTCTGATTACTAGTTTGTTTGGTGGCTGCAAATGTAACTGCACAGGAGATGAGCTCATGGGGTGTCTCTGTATCTTTGGAAGAAATGGTTGCCTATTTTAAGAAAAGATGCCGCTGGCATGGAACCAGAGGCGCTCTGATCAGCAAGTCCCTGTTATTACCCTAGACAGGCTTCCCATGCAACTTACTCCAACTTGGTTGCATCTGGACACCATGTCTTTAAATTCACTCTCATTTCCAGATCGGGAGCACAGCTTGTAGCTGATGGGCTGGTACCTCTCCCACCATGGTCTCCATGGATTTGTAATGATCAGGTTCTCATTTGGTGGAGAGATCTGTGGATGAAGTGACATCATAAATTATTATTATTACATTGCACTTATATCCCACCTTTCTTCCTCTTGGAAAGGACCCAAGGTGGCTTACAAGTTTCTGCTCCTCTCCATTTTATCTCCACAACAACCACCTTGTGAGGTAGGTTAGGCTGAGAGGCAGGACTGGCCCAAATCACTCAATGAGCTTCATGGCCAACAGTCCCAGTCCTGAGTCCCACTCCAGTGCTCTTAACCACCACACCACACTGGCTCTCTACTACTACTACCTACGAAATACACTACTGAATATTATTTCAACAATATTATGAGAGCCAAAGGTGCTTCTCTATGTGTATCATGGACTGCAGAAGACCTAGGCAGGTTCTCAGTGGGAAAAGCCAGAACAAGCCCTCCAGTTGCTTCAGGTAGGATACTATATGCACCCCTTCACCTTGCTCTGCATCTTCCCCACCAAATCTCCTGTCTCCATCTACCTTCCCGTTGTTGCTGCTACGGTAGTTTTGGCTGCTGTCCTCTGAAAAGCCGCATCGCTGGCACACACCAGTAGCCAGACCCAAATGCCTGACTCTGAGGAATCCTTCCTCAACACCAGTTCTTTGAAAAGGGGTGCCCCTGGAAGTCACTCTTGGCATGAGCAACCCCCAGGGACACCCCTCCAAGCCAGCCATTTAGGCTTGCAAGCTATGCTGGCCAGTCTTATGCCTGATGCAGGCACTTGCCCAGTGGCCCTCTGGATCGGCCTGAGAAGATTCTCAGAATGAGCCGGAGTTTGGGTGGCTGCTTCAGGCAGCAACACTAGTTGCTCTCCCCCTGCAGCACTTGCTGCCTGAGATGGGGATCTCACCCTGCTTCATGGGAGGGCCATCACTGCATGCGGACAATACAAAATTAGCAGCAAGTGTATCTGTCATGCTCAATGCAGAAAGTATTTTGCTGTCCAGGTTTCCTCAAAAGGAGGAGGGCGGGGAGGAGGAGTAAAAGAAGAAGTTGTTTTGGGAAAATTGCAGAGATTACCCACAACCTCCCTTTCAACTTCCCTTCACCCAAAGGACTACAGCCCCATTGAAGCCAGCACAGACTTTGCAAGCCTCTGCTTGGAAGTGACACTTGTGAACATGGTCCATAGTGTAATTCCCCATGTGGGGGTGATAGGATGTGTAGTTCTTTGCCTCCAGTTCTTTGCCTCCAGTTTCAAACTGAGGAGTCTAGAATGCTGGTATAGATCCCATGAATTCTGGCTGGAAATGCACATCACTTCTTGTTACACAAAGTTGTGCCAGGTCTCTGCTGGCCCCACCAGCACCCCTTTCATTCCACCAGTTCTCCCAGTCTTCCAAAACAGAAAGTTTATTGAGTAAAGTTGCGGAACTGAGCATGATGGCTGATTAGCAGCAGGAGCAGACCCCCACAGGAAGCTGGCCAGGAATTTGGAGCAGCTTGGACCTATTTCATAATGCAGTGTAGATTTCCAAACTGGGTGAGTTCGTATTGCTAACTTCACCAGTTCGGAGTTCACTGCCCTCCCGATACAAAAATGTGTACAAAATGCAATCATCCACTGAACACACTGATGCATCATCTGCAGTGGGTTGTATCAACCGACATGCCCGATTTACTTAAAAATAAATGACTACAGCTCCAATTCAGATTGGGACTGGCACGCACCAGACGGGGATGAACAAACCTTCATTCCCACCCCTTTGTTTTGCCATTACCCACTCTCCCTGGATGAGGATCTAAAGAAATAAAAACCTTAATTAACTCCAATCAATGCATCATCATCATCACCAATAATTTCCCCTACTGGGTCAGAATTGAAGCAGAGGTTTCCAACCTCCCCTGCTGGTGTGTGCTGGTCCCATTCTGAATTAGGGGCAAGCAAATTTGCCACAAAATCTTCTAAGAGGGCACTGCTACACCATTAAGATAACATGTAGAGTGACCCTTACAGGCTCTTTTAAAAGACTGATCTACATACTCCCTTGTCCATGTTTATTATTTCCAGTTATATTGAACTCGGTGCTTGTGGCCTTTGGGACAAGCATTTAAAATCTCCAGATAGTCACGTGCAGATTGCTTACCTGAACACCACCGTATCCATTAGGTGCCAGGTAACGCTCACATTCCAGAGCAATATCACTCCAACGCCACTCAAAGAGATGGACAATAGAGGTCGTCCTGGGCTTTGTATTGGGGTTATACTGAGCCCAAGAAAGCTCCAGAGCCACCAGTAGAAGGAAAGTCTTCATGCTGTCCCGGGTCGTGGCCATGAACAGAACTGTACTGCTGGTCTTGGTGACTATTTATATCCCTGCTAAAGCTTAAAGTACACATCAGTCATGAGACACTCAGCACAATTGCAGATCTTTACTCAGAGGTCATTCCCTTGATGGTTTAAACAAATACAGTAGGTGAAGATAGCAGACAAATTCTCTGGCAACAAATGTAGCAGGTAAAGATAGCAGACAAATTCTCAGGTGAATGTGTGTGTGTCAATGCATAGAGCAGGGTGAGAGTCGATCTGCATTTTTAGATTAGATCGTGTAATAATTAAAAGGAACCTAGTTCTTGGAATTTTGCAAGCAAAACCAACAGCGCAGGGTGCCAGCATAGCTCTGTTTTTCACATGAGCTTCCAAAAGAGAACAAAGCAAGACCCAGTTAAGCATGAACAATCCAGAAAATTGTGGATGATCCAGATCGGCACTGATGATCCATGAAGGGCATCCATGTGAAGCATGGAGATGTGACATTAGTCCATGTCCACATGGAGGTGCTTCCCTGTTTCCTTGCACTCCAGCTCTTGCTCCCTAAAAGCAGCTGTTCCATGAGGATCCAGAAGAAAGGTTGCTGGGAAGCAAAGCCACTGCACTGAGTGTGCTGAAAAACTAGTTCCTTCTGGCTCCTTTTCCATCCCAGTTGGTTGTTGTCGTAGTTTCGTGACTTTGAGAATGAGTGCTGATCTGGCGTTCTTCTTCCCCAACTATTTTATCTTTTGTGCCTTGTCTTAGAATGTAAACCTGAATTCACAAGAATGGCTTTATCTTGATCTTTACTGATCTGCAAGCCACACGCTTGCCAAAGGATAAAAAGAGGGATGTCTTACAATGGGGCTTTTGACAGTTTAATGGTTTAATTGCATTGTTTTCTCTGTATGTTAGCTGGTTTTAGCATGATCTTTACTGGTAAAGTAGGATGTAAAGTTAATTAAATATAAGATGCTTGAATAATAAGAGGGATGCATTCTATACTAGTGATGTGTAAACTGTGTGCACTGAACACATATTGATCGATTGATCATCAACAACTTATAGGCCAAAAATCTGATTTTTTAGGTGTGTAGTGAATCCTTCCCATATAAACTGCCAGGCACTAGTGTTCCTTTTTTTTTTTCACCGTGTCACACAGGGTCGAGCACAATACTAATACTCTTTCTCTTTTTTGTAGGTTAACCCAGGCCTGTGGACATAGTCAGCATTCAAGACTATGCTTAATTAATTAATTAATTTTTTGATTGATATCCTGCCTTTTTCCTACAAAGGGCTCAAGGCAGCTTACATCTCCTCCATCATCTTATCCCCACAACAACAACCCTGTGAGGTAGGTTGGGCTGAGAGTCTGTGACTGGCCCAAAGTCACCCAGCTGGCTCCATGGCCGAGCGGGGACTAGAACCCAGATCGTCTGAGTCCCAGTCCCACGCTCTTAACCACTACACCACACTGGCTCATTCAGGAAATAGGAAAAATAACTAGTTCAAAAGATACAACTCAGAGCTGAACATGGCACTAGGCCATGCTGTGCCCATTTTAACCAAAATGAGCTCCAATTTGGTCCCCAGTCTCCTCTTACTCTATGGCAGGGATGGGCGACTTTTGGCCCTCCAGAAGTTTTGGCCTACGAGTCCCATCAGGCCTGCCCAAGGGTGAACAACAGGACAAAACCTCTGGAAGGCCACAATTTGCTCACCCCGATTTTATGGTCACCACCTGAAATAACTACATTCCAGATTCAAGTTACAATCCACGGCAGCGGCATTGTCAGCCTAAACCCTTCATCTGTATTCCTGTACTGATTCTGTCAAATATCACAGCCTCCTTGTGGGACTTCACCATCATTTCGTCAGAAGAAATTAGATGATTTACATGCTCAGTCAGAATGCAGTGACATGAAGAGCTTGATCCAGCAGCACCTTGAACAGAGGAACTGCTGCGCAACGGCTATCTCAGCACTTTTAATTTATGACACATAGTATGTCATGTTACTGACTCCAAATTCAGCTGATTAGAGACATGATTTGGGCTTGTTATGAAGCAGCTCTCTTGTGAGTGAGCACTACTAGCTGCGTTTGGAAACAAAGCCAGTAAGCCAGGTGTCTTCCTTCCCCCACTTCCAGGCAGGTGGGAGATAAGCACCGAAATGCAAGACTAGCTCAAATGATTCACTTTTCAGACTTCCTAAAAGGCATTCCCCAAAGGCAAAGGTGGGGGTAAAACTTGAGCAAGCATGACCATGCCTGATCATTACCATGCTCTCTGGTAAGACACCTAGTTAACTATCTGAAATGTGCTCCCATTCTTGAAGTTCAGCCTTGACACATCTCATTAATGTCATAATTTGTTAACTGAATATCTTAAGAAAGACCCAGAAAGTCTTTTGTTTCCAGCAAGTACAACCATCATCTCCAGGCACCCTCTTTTGAAATACACGATGAGGGGCCAGCTCCATCCTGATCCCTCAACAAGCATTATTCTTGCTTCACTTGTGTAAGAACCCTCAGGTTTGGGCAGGCAGCAGCACCCCATTCCTGGTGGCATGGAGCTGCAATATTGAAATTACAATGTCGCTTCTTCCTGAGAAAGGCTGCATGTTGAACATCCTAAAAAGCCACCACAGCCCCTTAAGATTCCTAGTTTGTCAGAGCAACGTACTACCACTGTGGACCTTGCCTTTCATAGTCAAAAGGCTTTCGCTCTTGGTGCTTTCCTTTCTCCTCTCCTAAGACCAAGAGTAGCAACATGCATTCACTCTTGAACGCAGGGAAGGGCTCAGCTAGGGACAGACGTATCACTCTTAGAAATTCTCAGATTACAGCATCTACCCACTTTCCCTTCTTTGTGTGGGTTTCCTTGGGAAAGGAAACTCTGAAGACTCTGCCTTGGGAAGAGTCCTTTCCATGGTCTTGGAGACTATTTTAGGTCTGCAGCCCAGCATCACCAAAGAAGGTAGGTAATGTCTCCATCTAGATGACCCTTGGGGGAGACCAAAGCATCCCACTTGACGTTGGTGTTAACAAATCAATTTGCTCAGCTATTCCCCCCAAAACTTGCCTGCACATTTGAAACTCTGCAAAGCTGAGGATGTGGGCTATGGTAGGGTTCTGCTCTTCACCAGCATCTGTGTGTGAATCCCTTTGGGTGGGAATTGCCTTCTTAGCCACAGACGGTCTACATGCCAATGTCTAAAGATCCCTTATAAGTGGGTGTGCTGGTCTCATTGGAACACACGTGACTTAATTCATATAAGAGCACATCATATATCAGGCTATGAATGAGCATATGAACAGAGAGTCACTGCGATGCAGTGGTTTAGAGTGCTGGAAGGGGGCTGAGGCTCAGGCGATCTGGGTTCCAGTCCCTGCTCAGTCAAGAAGCCAGCTCAGTGACTTTGGGCCAATCACAGACTCTCAGCCCAACCAACTTCACAGGATGGTTTTTCTGATGCTAGGTTTGGGAGGAGGAGAAGAATTATGTAAGTCACCTTGAGTCACTAGAAAGGGAAAAAAGTGGAATATAAATATAATAAATAAATCAAATAAATATGCACTTCAGATTACAAGTCTGACATTAGCTGAATGTCTTCCTGTAACTCACAGGGTAGAAAAAAGATGAGATGAACCCAACATCACTGTTGAAAATGGCACCTTGTTCTTTACCTCCTTTGTTGCGTAACATGCAGCTGTAGAGTTAATGCCTGTTATCTCATTTAGGAACATTTCCTTGGCAGGTGAATTGATCACAGAGATCTTTATGGGACCATTGTGGTGGAATCTTCTTTACTGTGTTGTCATGCTGACCCTACTTTTTCCAGTGGTGAGAAGTTCCAGGGGCACAGTGCCTACCTGGGTTTGGTTTCCTCTGGATGGAGGTCACAGAAGGCCTATTAGCATGTTTTAATATTTGAGTAGAGTTATTGCTGAGAAGACTGAGGAGAGGTATGAGAACTACTTGAAAGGTTGCCACAAAGAGGAAGGCTAGGATCATCCCCGAGTGATAGGCTCAAGTTACAGGAAGATGAGTTCTGGTGGGACATCAGGAAGATCTGACTGTTAGAGCAGTCTGACCATCTCTCCCACACTAGAGACATTCAAGATGCCACTGAACAGCCACCAGAGAGGGATGATTTCACCTGGAGTCCTGCACGGAGCAGGGAGCTGGACCCAATGATCTTCTTGGCACCTTCCAGCTCTACTATTCTATGTGATCTTCGCTTGAGTTCTCCACACAAAGGGACCACCACAAAATGCTGTTAGTTTACTGAGCCCCCAAACTCAGGTGTCTGCCTGCCTTACGCAGGCATGAGCAAACAAATGACTTCTAGATAAGCAGGATTTTCCAAACAGCTCACCACTTGTTTTGTGCCCGAGTCTGATGGATGCTTGATTTATGCTAATGGAAGACTTGCACAAATTGAGCAGGGATCAAGCACGAAACCTGTGCAAGTTTCCCCAACTTTGCACAAATATCCTAATTCGCACAGCTTTCCTCCATAGATGAAAGCAGAGCTGATTCAGTGCATAAGAGGACTGAGTCATAAAATGTTCTTGGGCGGGTAATTTACGGGCTTTTAAGTTGAGCTTTGTCATATATAGAGAACAGAGCCTACAAAACCAAATCCAAAACAAGAGAAATGAACATCCTGTGCAGACATTACAACTTGGCTTCAACATGAATTGCAATTAATGGATCTTCGGCTTGGCTATTAATCTGAAAATGAGCGCTGCCATTCCCAAAAACGTGGACCTGAATTCCAGTGCAGAGGTTGCCTTCTTTTTCTCCCGAAATAACATCACAGTAAATGCCAGGGGGAAGACCGGTTTGTAGGATTTCCAACAAGTTCCTGTTCAAACACAAAGATTTTTCTCCTTATTTATGCCATCTGATCAATGGTGATTATATGGCTGTTTTATATGGGTTGCTACTCTGGACTTGGGTAAAAGTATAAATCATTTTTCTTTCGCAGATGGATTTAGGCTGAGGCACCTGACAAATGATTTATTACATGATCACACTCATGAAGACTTGCACTGACAAGACCTTGCAATTAATGGGAACATCTCGTGAAGTGGCTAAAATTACTTCATGGTAGCCTTCCCCAGACATGGTGCAAACATGTTTGCCTACAGCTCCCATCAACCCCAGACACCAGAGCCACTGGGAAGGCATCAAGTTAAAGAAGGCTGCTTTCTTCCCAAGAAAAATGAGCACACCACTGCCGGGGTAACACCATTCCACGGCCAGTATCTTGAAGGATTCTGCAAATTCCATCCCTGACAACAAAGCATACATAGAACTTCAACACAATTATTCTTTTCTAGAACAGGTGTTTATACACTGAATGGAACCTCTCTGAATCGTTCCACATGATGCAGTCATGCTAATGCAGAGCACCACTGAATATAGAGAGGATTTTGAACCAGACATCCAGGGGAGTAGAGCCCAAGCAAAACTCCTCCCTGAGTTCCAAGCCACACAAGACCTGAACTTGGCCATTGTAGACATTTTGAATACTGTGCAGCAGGTGGGTCCAGCTTGCCGTGGCAACAGGTATTCTATGGCTAAGCTGCCAGAAGATCTAAATAAAAGAAAAACTGCATCGGGATACCGTGCTGAGTCTCCTTTGCTAAGTTGCAAAGGCATGGGCCTGCAGCTGGATGGGTGACCACTTGTGGAAGCAAAGCAGGGGATTGGACTCAGTAGCTTCACTGGCCTCTTGCAACTTCTATTCTATATGAGATGCTTCTTTTCTTTGGGAAAAGAATCTACCATAGCCTGCTAAACTAGTCAACAAAGGGTCCCTGCGCATTTCCAAGCTGCATGGAGAAGGGATGAGCGATCAGTCCTACTCTTCTTGTCCGTGTCGGAATGATAGGAGAAGCTCTATCTGCCAATCTCCACTCTGCTAAGCAGCGATATGAGGCATGGCATGCAGGCACCCTTAAAGACCCAATACTGTACCCTGAAAACCAATCACACTTTAGATGGCAGGAGAATATGACTCACTGAGCATGTCCGAAACGGAGATGCTGAAGGGGGAAAGCATGTCTGCAAACAAAATGATAGGACTTATGGGGGACGTGTGCCAATGTTCCTTTGCCATTTTGAGGGAAGTCACAGACATGCATCCCTCCCCTTTAAAAATATATATTTATTATTTATTTTTTAAACGTTTTGATATGCTGTCCAATACTAGAGTCTCTGGATGGCTTACAAAAAACAAAACAATGACATGCTCACAAACACACTGCATCTGACCATTAATGGTAAAATCAAAGATAAAACCAGTTAAATGGGAAAATAAAAGGGTTTTCGCCTGACACTGAGAAGAATAAAGCGAGGGTGCCAGGTGAACCTCCCTGGGGAGCATGTTCCAAAGTCGGGGTGCCACTGCCAAAAAGGCCCTCTCTGGGTAGCTACCCACCAAATTTCCCTCAAAGAGGGCCTTTGCTACCCTCTCTGGGTAGCTACCCACCAAATTTCCCTCAAAGAGGGCCTTTGCCATCACACAGGATCAGCAGTGAACATGCTGTATTCAGGCAGCAACACACACGGGCTAAATAAATAGTGAATTTGCCTTGAATTCATTCTAGGGCACCACTGCTTGTCCAAGAGGCAAAATTATTTTGACCCGATACAGGCTCCCCATCTTTCTGAACTCCTCCATCCCTACATAAACATACCTGTCCTCATTATTAAACACAATAAACCCTTTGCCGTTCCGACCAAATGCCACCTGGTGGTTATTGTTGTCCCACCAGCTTGTCATCGGCTGGCCAAACACCACATTTCGGAAGGTCACCATGTTCCTAGAAATGAAATCAGCACAGTGAATAAAAGCACCTTCTCATGAAAATGGCTTCAGGGCACAATCCCATGGCTGTCCATCAACTGGGAGTTGATAGTTTTCCTCCTGACCCCTTGATCCAAACCCTGAAGTCCTGGAGCTGGGACTCCAAAGGCCAAGCACCACTCTCAGCCAGAAAAGAAAGAACACTACGAGCTGCCCCATCCCCCTTGAGGTGGCGACTGGGCCTTGGAGTGGGAGGGGGAAGGGACATGCTGGGAAGTAGAGCAGTTGATTTATGGCAACTCCATTGGATGCTCCAGGTTCTTTTCTGCCTCCTCCCCAGCACTAAATCCAGGCAACCAAAAATGTCACAATTGTGCCTCGCTCCTGCCACTGTATGGTCCTAAGCCTGTGAGTTTGGAGGCCTATAGGCATTTGCCACAGGGAAGGCGACTGCCCTTAGTCACTGGAATCAGTAATAATAATAAAGTCTGTTCATGCGTCACTGCCAGAGTGCCACAAAACCCAGACCCTGAAACTTGGCATGTATATTAAGGGAATCTTGCAGATGTCCATCTTAGGATCATTTTGTTTTTAAAAGGCATTAAGTGATTTTAATTAACTCGGAGGTATCCATGTGGTTGACGCTTGTAGTAAAATCTTCCCTAAACTGCAGCAGCGTTGCAGTTCCCAGTTAGAAGGCAGGGGAAAATAATAGCCTAAAATAACCCTCTCCCCCTCCATCTTGCTGTGGGGCAGCCCCCCTTCAGGAGAATGGAGTGGGCATTCCTTTCCTTAGGGGTACCCAATGGCAAGGGCCATGCCTAGCAGTGGCTACAGGGTGTTTCACGAAGACAGGGCAGGCACAGTGCGCCCGACTCTACGCAACGTTGTTGGAAGCTTTCACAACACGAACGAGGGCTATTCCTACCAGGTCCATTCACTAAGCGGCGCTTACCTAATTGGATGCCAGCGATGCTCGCAGACCCAGCCATTGCCACAGGTGCCATCCGGGTTGGTTGTAACAGGTTTAATCGATCCATCGCTATAGCTCGGTGGGCCAACCCAGTCATTCAAGTCCTTGTTAGAAGACATGGCATTTAAGCTTATTGGACAATAAGCAGTTAGAGTGCAATGGGGTCAGTTAGAGTTGCATCTCTGCAACAAGTCTGGTGGACACAGATTCTTAGAAATGGCAGCATAGGGTATTGGAAAGCACAAGGATCCCTTCCCAGGGAAATTTAGCTAGAATCAGAGACTCAATGAAACTCATACGAAATATGCCATATGAAGCCTGACATATGGATTGCTCTTATGAATTTGTGAGAGGATCACATCGCTCTAGCCTAAACAATGGAAGGTGGAAAACCTCATAAAGAAGTGACAGCTGCAGAGCATTCCTCCACTTCTTGGATTTTGTCAGTCTGCACCTGAACTTCTGGCAGATGCTCCATATGGCCTGCAGGAAAGTGCTGTGTGGTTTGGAAAGGATTCTTTGCCATCAGTAGGGTCAATCCAGACAGAGCGAGTCATGATTAAGTCACACTGCAATAACGGGACTCAAGTTCAAAGCAACTAATACAAACTGCACACTTCAATGCAACATCAAGACAACTCATTTTCTCTGGACTGACATTTCTCCTTCCTTATATTCAGTCTGTTTTCACCCTACCCTCTTAAAGTAGGATGGCTTGCAAATGCAAACAAAGTTAAATATTTGTTGCAAACCTACAGAAAAGTTACCTTTCCATTCTGAATATCTCTAGGCCACCTGTAGCTTGACATTATGCGTGTAAATCCATAGGGATGTGCTAGCATAAAGGCAACTGCCATCTTATAGAGCCTGCAAAATGTAAAAGGAAGGGACCTGTTCATGAAATGAGCATTAAGAGCACAGAAATAAGCAGTGACTAGAATTTATAATACTCAAAGTCAAGCCACTTAGGGATTTTATTAGTGCTAGTGGTATCTAAGTATCACAAATACATAAATATTCTGGGCTGGTCTGATGAAAGAAACATAAATCTAGTATAGATATATACCAGTTTACCCAGGATTCAGGAAACAATCCTATGCCCACTTACCTGGAAGCAAGCCCCACTGAACTGACTGGGACTTACTTTTGAGTAGACACATACTGTACCATATCCTTCATGAGTCCCCCTGAAAAATCGTGGGAATTGCTATTTTGGTGAATAATCTGGAAATGGTATTTTAAAGCAACTGTGTTCTACTCTCAATAGTACAGTTACTAAGGCAGGAAGTACTTTTAACCAAGTGTAGTAGTGTATTTGCGAGGGAACCTGAATTCTGCATGAGCAGGCAATGAGTGAGTAGAAACCATAGTAATAACTCACTACTGCATGTAAATTATGCACTCGTACATGGCTGCTAAGCCATTGGGAGAATGCCTGCCCCTTTTCTATTTCTGCATGTTGTTTCGCTCATTAAGATGAGCTAAAATTTAGATAAATGATGCAGGTAAGATTTTATGGCTATTGAAATAAGAAATTGCTCTTCAGTAGCAAGATCATTAAAGCAGATATTGAAGGAATCATCCTCTTCCTCCAAATGTCATCATGCATGGCAAAGTGGTGCAGGAAAATGACAGTCCAGGACACCAGCTGGGTATATCCAACCCTAGACAGGTATTTTCGATTCAGAGCAGAATCTGCCCAAATTCTGCCTTTGCATGGGAAGGCAAAGAACTGTGGTCATCTGTCTCAAAACTGGTGGAGAGAAAGCAGAAGTTAAAGGAATGCAAACTTGCCCTGTTGGGTGGGGGGGAAATCCCTGCAAACTTACTCTGATGCCATATTGGTTTTCTTTAAAGGTATAAGTTGGGCTTCCCTACACAAGTGATTCAACCCATTTTTTACTGAGATTACATCTTCCCTTTTTGTTGTGGAAGGAAAAATGTGTCTCTTAGGCAGGCTCCCCTACCCCCGGTTTGTATTTCTCTACTTTTCTCTAGATTCTATTACCCAGCCGCAAGGCAACACTGCAGAATAGCAGACTTGGGACTTTCCATGAGGCTTTGTTTCTAGTTTGTTGCAATTTGAAATTTAATAGCTGACTTTACTCTCTCAAAAACAAAACAAAACAAAACAAAACAAAAAACACAAAAAAAGGCAGCAAAGCATGGAAACCTCACAAATTCTGTTGAGGTAGAAACTGGGAGTTCACAATAAATTCCTCAGGGACAGAAGCTACACTATTCCTTCATGAACACTATTCTTTGACAGATTTGGGAAATATTGGGTAATCTCCTGCCTTTATCAATCCATCCTTCCCAATTTTCTTTAGACTGATGTCCTTGGGATTTAAAAATCACACAGTAAGAACATGCAACTTCTCGCTGAACTGCTTGCCCCAAATTTGGGGGCAGGAATGAGACCTGCTAGGAGTAAAAAAAAAAAAAACCCTGTAATTTCCCCACAAGTATCAAGTTTCTCTTGGTAAGACTTCGAACACATTTTTCTTGGCTTGGACAGGTCCATTCTGACCTGACTGGAAATTCAGCCCTAAGGAGTCATAATATCATTTTTCTTTAAAAAAAAAAAAAAAAAACAAGCAAGCAAGCGAAAACAGTACCTGGGGTCCCAGAAAGTAAGAATAGAAGCTCCACCAGCACCATGACCTCTCTGGTTGTCATGATTATCAACAAAGACAAGGGCTTTGTCAGTCGGCATCAGACTCCAATCTTCTCCCCAGCCCCTAAACGGTGATGAAATTATCAGAACTGGCTTTACAACACATGCCCAGGAACACTGTTTTAGCAACAAAGGGTGCCACCCAGCCTCCGAACAAGGACGATAGGAGGGATCTTGTGCAGAGTGGGAGAAGGACACTATGTGGGCAATTTCAGCCATCTAGCTGGGGTGCTTTGGCCAGGCACTGTCTCTCCCTCTCCCCCTCCTCCACCTCTTTCCCTTTTCTCTAAGATGGCTCTTATGGCCTTGCAAAGCAACCAGTGGGGCTCTTTCTGTGCAACCTGCAAGCAGAAAGAGAGACCTGAGCAAGGAGTCCCAGGTCTGGGGATAGAGCTCCTTTTCAGTCTCAGACCCGAGAATGCAAAGAAGCCCACAGCTCTCTGGGTGCTTCCTAGAGGCCATAACACTGCTCCACACATTAAAAGGAAAACCAGCCATACTGAGCATGGACTGAGAAATGTAACTGTAGAATTCCATGTCTAAAACCCATGCCTGTCACAGGCCACGGAGGACGTGGAGCCTCTGCCATGTGGGGAAGGGGCTCCTGTACCATCTGGGTTCCACCTGCACACACAGAGGCACCTAAGCCCTCCCACCCCTTCTGTGCACAGACAAATGGAAGCCAAAGATGTGCAATTACTTCAAATTGGCCATCTTTTCTCCATTCCACTTGCGAAGGACAGTCCCAAGTTGCGCACCATATTTGAATTCGGTCACATGACCATTTCTGAAGTATTCGTGGCTTTGGACTGCTTCACCACCCAAGTCAATTACCTAGAAAAAGCCAGGAGAGGACAAATGGAGAAGAAATAATTATATTGACCTTAATTTGCCGCCAAACTAAGATCATCAATAGGTTGTTTTTTGTTTTTTTTTAGAAACAGCCAGTGCATGAATTGAGATGTGTATCTTCCGGAATTTATTAGATCACATGCAGTTCCAGCCATTTCAACCAATCTCCAATGTGACTGTAAAAATGGCCCCTAGCTATTATGGCCATATTTCAGGAATGGGCTTCCTCTGGACTCTAGCATCTTGCACATTCAACATTTTGCACAGGTGTGAACAAGGGTAAAGTCACAAGTTAATATGCAGCGACCTTGATGCATTGATTTCAGTGGATTAAACTGAACTTAAAATGCTTAATTTGGAAGGGCTTGCACCTTCTGATGCCACTGTCCACATCCACACACGTGTCGATAGAATAAGAGTTAAGGATAAGGATTCATATTATTTATTTATTTATTAGATTTATCTCCTGCTTTTTTTCTTATAAGAAACTCAAAGCAGCTTATATCGTTCTTCTCCTCCTACTCTCAATCGTATAAAAGAAAGAATTACTAGAACAAAATTACTTTGCTGAATTGGACCAAAAGGCCACCTTGAATGGCATTCTGTATCCTTAGGGCTGTAATCCTAGGCTAAGTTATCTGGTAGCTGGTCCCACTAAATTGAATGAGGGTTACTTCTGAGACAAGTTACTTGTCACCTTCTGTTGTCCCATCTGTCACATGAGGAATAATAAAGCTGACTTATCTTGCAGGTTTGTTGTAAGGATTACAATGAGGCCATGCATGTACCATGCTTAAAAATAACAGACAGGCATTCAAAATTACGTTAGTATTTATTATTTACCTCCTGATAGATGAAAGGTCGCACACCTTTGGCAAACCATCTTGTGTTTAGATTATTTACTTTTCTTAAAATAGCATTTATATCCATGGGCCATATGTGCTTGGAAGCATCAATTCGGAACCCGGCTACCCCAATTTCAATCAGGTGGTTCATATAGGCAGCTATTTTTGAACGCACCTCCTCTCTTCTTTGGGTAAGGTCAACAAGGCTAGCGAGGCGACAGTCGCGAACCTGTACATATGGGGAGAACTCTTACTGATTCAGTTGCCAAAACATAAATGTGCAATCCTCAAAGCTGTCCTGAGCCAAACAATATCAGTTCAGTTACACTGGCCCCCTATCTTACATTATTTCTTTTTTAAAAACAGCCTAAAATACATTTTGAACCATTACAGGCAGTCCCCAGGTTGTGAACGAGTTCTATTCTTGAGAAAATGGAAATTCATCCTTACGTTGAATTTGTATGTACATCAGATCATGTATACTTGGCCCTCCACAGGACCCCTGTGAAAGTGGAAAACCCACAAATATGTCTAGGCCCTCTCCCTGCTCAAGAGACACCAGTGCCTCTTCTTCGGAGCAAGGAAATGTCAGAGAGATTTCCCTCTTCAGATGGGCGGGACAGGAAGGCATTCTGCGGAGGTCTCCCTTTCTCCCCTTTTGCTTTCTCTCTCTCTCTATGATGATGCTTTGGAGGCCTTCTCTCTCTCCCCTTTCACTTTCTCTATCGCTATGGTGATGGTGAATTTCTGCAGTAAATTTATTACATTAATAGGCTTTATGGCAGTTTGTTCCTAAGTACGGGTTGTTTGTAACTCAGAAGTTCATAACTTGGGGACTGCCTGTACTTTAAATCAACACAAGTCTAAAACCCAGTGGGATTTGAAAAGGATTCTAAAAGAATTGCTTGACTGGAATTGTTGGGAAAGGTATTGAGAAACTGTTAGCTCATTTCCCTCAAAACAATATAGCATGTCTTGTTATCAGATGAAAAACCAAGTAAAGAAACACTGAAAATGTTTAATGATACATTATAATCCATGATAAATAATAAACAATTTGAAAATGTGAGTAAACAGTAACAATTGTATTAAAGGAATGAAACACAGAGAGACAACCTCATTCACAATGAATCCTGGTTATGTGACATTAAAAAAAATGCCAAGATGGCCCAGATGCTATACAGAGAGAATATTGGCCTATAAAACCCTATCACATGAGCTGAGTAATGAACTGAGTAAAGAGACTGTATTATTTATAATCAAAACAGTAATTAAATTTTCACTCATCAAAAATATTACATAAAGTATTTATATCAAAAAGCTTGACATATGGATTCTAGAAGAATGGTTTAACTAGCAAACTTTGACTAAAAGAATGGTTTCCTTATCATTTATTTATCAAAGGAATGATTTGGAATTGAACTTGTGTGTTTAAGCTTTTGGGGAAGTTTTCACTTTTTAAGCATGTTTACCAACAATAAGATAATTAATACTCTGAGCCTTAATTTATGGAACAGCAGCTACAATTAGCTACAAAGTTTTCTGCACTAAAATTGTATCAGGACCTTTCAATTTTGGAACAAGACAGCATCTTAATCTCGCAGAGGGTGTCTGCCTGAAATCCAAACCTGCTATTGCAAGTATGAAGATTTGTTTCAAAACTGGAAAATCTCATATATTCATGGCATCCCTAAAAGCCGCCACATGCAACAGTAATACCTGACCCCAAAAGTGAAGCCCAAAGCATCAATACTGTACAATTTACCTGAATCGGATCACTGTAATTTTCAATATCTCCACTGGGTGTTTTACATATTCTGTCATTGAAGTCAAAGCTCGAATACGGGACAGCGGGGAAATCTCGGAGCCCTGCATCAAAATAGCTCCCACAGATACCGCGGTAGCCAGAGCCAGCCCCAGAACTACACATATGATTGATTACAGCATCCACATAAATATGTACCTGTCAAAGATACAAGCAGCGGAGTTACGCAGGGGGGAAATGGATGCATAGCATTCTTGTGTCACCTTATCTCAGTCCAACTGGTCTTCTTCAACACGAGGCATTTCTTCAAGTTTCACACATTTGAATAAACTACCTAAACCAGGATGCCGAAACAATTTGGGGGAAAGTTGCCCCCAGCAGGCCTCTGTGGGACAGAGGACATCCATATGGATATGGATAGCTCCACCAACGGTCATCACTGTCTTGGCCATTTCGGCAGCCTCCAGACCCTTGGAGGAGTTTCTTTGCCCTCAACTCTCCTTAGCATGATTGTCTTCGCCAGCAAGTCTTGAGAACTGGGTAAACCAAACATCTTATCCAAAACAGTTGGATATATGTAATTAAATATAAATATCTTTATAGAACAAGAAGACCTGAAATCGCTTGCTCTGTTCTGGGCTATTATCAGAAAATCACTTACTCCAACATCATTGCATCTGGTCACCATATCCCTGAATTCATTTTCACTCCCAGAACGTGAGCATAACTTGTAACTGATTGGCTGGTATCTTTCCCACCAGGGTCTCCAGGGATTCATAATTATAAGGTTCTCATTTGGAGGAGAAACCTAGAAAGTCAAAGAAGTCAAGCAAGAGATAAACGTTACTGACCCGGATGTTACATGTTCGAAAGGTCCCCATTCAGTTATAGTGAATCTAGAAAAATGGGAAGGATTTCAAAATGATTTTTCTGACTTAAAACTATGCAATGCTTTCAGGGATGCTAAATGGGTAGAGCTATACATAGGATTGGATCCAGAGGAAAAACCCCACAGAAAGGGGTGGACAGGAAATGGGTTTTTAACCCCCCCAGCAAACCCCAAGAAAGCCTCTACCAAACGTTAGGGATCCTGGGCAGGGGCTGCATCATTAGGGGTCAAAAGAGAAGGGGTGATCTGCCTCAAATCGGGTGCAGCCATTTTCCATGAGCTCTTCAGAGAGCAGTACCATTTCTGCTCTTGCTCCTCTCACACTCCTTTTAGGGTTAAAATGTCCCACTGCCCCCTCTGCATCACACACATCTGGTGTGGCTCCAAACATCTTTGACATCAGGGTGTGATAGAAGTAAAAACCCAAAACCTTCTTCTCTTGTCTAGCTCTTGCAATGGAAAAGGTAGGCTTACAGGATCATGCAGTATCCTTGCCAAAAATCTTAGAAGGCACAGGGTAAGCAATCAAGATGCCAGGATTTCCCAAGGCTTTAAAAATGTACTTTACCTTGCATTTTGTGCTTTTTTCATGATAATTCCGCAGAAGCAGAATAAATGATGAAAAACTCTTTCTTATTATAGGTTAACCTGTTCTCTCCCCAAGCAGCTCAGGGTGGGATACAGTGTTGGGTAAGGCAGGAGAAGCTGAGGGAGAATGACTTGTCTAGGGGCAGCCACTGAATTCCATGGCTGTGCAGAGATCTGACCCTGGGACTCTGAGCTCCAAATATCTCCCAGGAGTCTTAATTTGCAAAATATACACCAGTCACAGAAGCCAACCCTTGTTGGCACTTCTACTGAATACACAGTCCAGCTACTAGGTTAATTAACTCAAAAGGATGGCTAAGGGTTTCACTTTCTGTTAATATTTATCCTGGGACTTGTCTTCTTTGAATTGTGTGCCAGTAAAGGGAGGGCTAGTTCACACTCTCCTAGCCATGAATCACTACTCTACAGTAAATGGGATCCATACTTCTCACTACGGGGTTTATCAGACATTGTGTGTCCTCACACGACCAGGTCCTTATATCCAGAGGTAGAATGTCCAAGATTCCTTCCTCCATTAAGGGGGAAATGCAGAACTTCCACCAATCAAGCACCTTGCACGTGGACTCCCAACTCACACACCGCCCTACGTCCGCAGTCCACAACCTGGTACAGTCTAACTGTTTTGGGCTACAACTCCCTTCAGGCCCAGATAATGCTCAGATTCTATGGAAACTGAAGTCCAAAACATCTGCACAGCTTTCACTTGGGGAAGGCTGCTGTGCACACAAAAGACCACGGATACACAAACTGGTTGGGTACGTGAACAACTCTTTAGGAAACTACTGAAGAGATGGGGACCTTCTTTTGTCCTAAAGGCCAAATCCACTCTTGCAGAAGCTCTTGGGTGCTGCAGTTCCAGTGGTGGGCGGGGTGGAGCCAGCGGCAAAAGAGACACCACCCCAAATACCTGAATTTTGCAGCTTAAACCTCTTGCCACCATTACCTAAGCTGAAGGAATGACATTCCAGTAGTTTGAAATGTAGAGCAGATCTGCACCATTGCTGGGAAACTGCCGAAGAACTGGTGAGTGGGGGAAAGGGTATCCTATCCGCAAAGCCCTCAGGGGCCACATTTGACCCTGGAGCCCTACCCAGTTCCACCAGGGGCTTATTTTGCGGTCACTGAAGCAGAGAGAGCACTGACCTGGACACCTGCAAAGCCATTTGGCCCTAAGAAACGCTCACACTCAAGAGCAACATCCATCCAGCGCCACTCGAAGAGATGGACAATTGATGTCCTTGCAGGTTTCATCTTTGACATGTACTGGGTCCAGCAAAGTCCCAAAGCGGCGAGGAGAAGCAGCAACAGGCTCCCCACGTGTTCTCTGGCGCCTGGCAACATCCTCAAAAGCCTCGTGCATTCCTGTCGGACAGCAAACCACATTCTAGTATCTACACGCCTTAAATCCCACCTCATTAGCACGGATTGTTTTAAGAAGACACACTACAGAGGAGAGGCACCTCAGGCAGCCTGCAGTAGCAAAAACGTTAACAAGCTGGAAGACACCGCTTTGATTTGCTTAACACAGTCAATAGCTCAGAGGCCCGGAGCAGCTCTGTTTGCATTCTCTCTGGGTGCAGGCAGTGACGAAAGCACATCCCGTGAAGCAGGGGAGGTTCATGACCATTTCCAGATCTGGACGGTGTGTACGCAGCTTGGCATCTGTGAGCTCACGCTAGAAACTGGCTGTACACCAGGTGAGGGCAGAAGGCAGGATTTCTGTTTACTCAAGCCCCGACCAGTGCAGAAGTTGCTGTGGCACTCTATAAAGCCCAGGAACACACACTCCAAGAGCTCATCCAACTTGGTTTCTTGCCTCAGCCTACAGGATACTAATGCAAGGGTCTGCAAGACTTCCCAGGCTGAAAAGGCCACAGGTATGCACAATGCGTACCCATGCATGGGCCTGTGGCCATTCTAGAAGCCTAGCCTAGCTGAAGAAATTGCATTCACTTTCAGTTTTGGAACTCCTATGGACACATAATTTGGCAACAGCCTGAGGCCCTATTCTTGGGCCCGTCACTAAGATCAATCAGGATGGTATATAGTGGGGACAGGGACTTTCCAGTGGGGGTGCCACACCTGAAGAATTCCCTTTCTACTTGGCCTCTCCTGCAACCTTTAAAAGGCACTATAGATGCATTTTATTGCTGGCCCATTATATATAATTTTAACTCATTTAACATATAATAAAACTGCTGGTTGTATTATACACTTAATTATTTTAACAGTTTTATTGTGATCTGTTATGAGGGAGTTTACTTTGATAGATGAGGCAGAAATATACAAATAATTCACCATCGTCATCTGGCTGTAGTTATTCCCTGTACAAATTCTGGCATAAATTTCACTTGTAAAACCAACATAAACTTACGTTTCTTCATTTTGGTCTCAGTGATGCAGATGGATATGAGATGGTATTTTTACCTGGCTCTGATTTGCTGAAGTAGGTATTTAAAATTTTGTATTTTCCTATTTGTTTTAAATCTGTTATTATCTCATACTGAGCCCCTGGGCTAGGATAAGAGAGACAGAAGGAGAACATACAGTATTTGCATGTTGCTTCAGCTGATACTTTTTGGGGCCCAAGAAATAAATTTACAGTAAATATCAATACATCCATCTGGCTGCCCAGGCAGTTTTGCTGCCCTGGAGATGTTCACACGGCCTCCTGCCTTCCTGCCAATGAGAGGCTCCATCCAAGCCAGGCTGTCGAAGGTGTCTCTTCCGCTAGGACAGGTGACTTGGACTGGGCCTTCCAAGGACTTGGTGAATTCTTGGCTGAACCCCCTCAAGAGCAGGGGGAGATCTAAGCTAGGGACTGAGGCTGCTTGGATGACCAAGAGCTCTAAGCTCTCCAAACATCTGCTGCACACCTTCCCTCTACCTGTGCCACAGATCCGTAGAAGACCAAGAGCGCATGGCTCAACTCTTCAGTAGGGCGTTTTGCTGCAAAAACACAAATTCAGGGCTTTCTTGGATCAGACCAACTCCACCTGGCCAGTATCCTGCTCCTCACAGCAGCCTCACTGTCCCTCACATTCTAAGCAAGGCTCTACCATTTTAGCCAAGCCCCAGTATGGAAAGTTATAAGTTTGCTGTCGCACTGCCTAAGGCTCAGCCAGGATTTGAACCCGTGCCACTTGTCCACCAAAGCAAACATGTATGGCTATAATCTAGCCTACTCCAACCTAACATCCTCTAGATGTTCCAGTCTACAACACCCACCATCCCTAGCCGTGGTTCCTACTCTGGTTGGAGAATGATGGGAGTTGTAGGCCCACACATCTGGGAAGCATCAGGTTGGGAAAGCCTGTTTTAAACTGCATCTTTCTTTTCCTAAAGCAATTCCAGCAACAGGGGGAAAAAAGAAATACCTTAGAGAAAGGGGCTTGTATTCTTTTCACCAAACGTAGCCAAGTCTTCCCTCGTGACATGTCCAAGTTTGCTTGTCTTCCAGGATTCACTGTAGGCTGCTAGGAACCTGATTTTACAAAGTGACTTTTAGCGTCGGATTAGGCAGGCTACAAAGGGTTGTCCCGCTTCCCCTTCTAAAACATTATGGGCCAGAAAACTACTACAGCTATGCAAGAAAGCTTCAAGGCTTCTCCATCTGTTTTTCAACTGATAAAAGGCAGGCAGGAAGAAAGAAGCAGACCAATTTCAGGAACAGCAAGTGACCGGAGGAACTTCGGTCTGATCGACAGTCAGCTCTCATCCGAAGGAGAAAGCTTCATTCTTCCAACAAAGCCTTGGATTGGTGAGTGGACATTTGATGCCTCTGAACCCTTGTCCTAGCCAGCAAGAAGACGGGAGGAAAGGCTGTGAGATTCTAAAACAGCAGGGCTGCTCTCCAACAAAATGCAGCTGGAGCCCTTAAAGTAGCAAAACAAAAGGCAGCATCTGGTGTCAGCCTAAACCCACTGAGATGAATGGGACTGAAGTTGCACTAAAACTGCTTATTATTCCATAAGGTTGAACTTCTATCCATTAACCTTCCAGTCCAAGCAACTGAACAGTGGTATTTCATCAAATCGAGCTCCAGGCATACAGTCTTGGCTGTTAAAACAGGAATGGGACACACACGCGCAGGATCCGTTTATGCCTTCTCCACAGACGCTGCCACAAAAGACTCCTTCTGTGCATGAATGCCCCTTAGCTACATGGAACTGGTAATCGACTGAGGGCTGTAGTTTAGTGTTTCAAAGCCATCACCCTACTGTAGCTTCAGTGCAAAGCCCGGGGAGAGGAAAGGATTCTTTCTGAGGGCCGATGTGCTCTTTTGGACCCATTTTCACTGCAGAGGATACAGTATTTGGAATGAACAAAGCCTCATTTCCGTACAGAAATCAGCTTCTGGAACTGTGGTGGCCCAGCTGAATGGCAACAGCGCAGCAGCTTATGAAGCTTAAGGAGCTCTGCCCTCCATAAAGTTGGGACAACACAATTAAACATTCATTATTATTTCCCCAAGAGATTAGGATGTCATTTTATGCTTTCCTGGGGGAATGTGGTACCTGCTTGCCAGATTAGGCAAAGTGGGGACATTTGCGGGGGAAAAATTACATTTGGGGATATTTGTATCATATACAACTTTATGACTGCCATGCAAAGATGGAGATGAAAGCTACCAGCCCACAAAAATGTGAGCAACTCAGTTATCCACACCTACCTAGAGCACAACACTGGCCTAAAAGAAAACAAGAAACAACCCACTTCCTATTTACCAAAGTTTTCTGGATTGCTCACCTGGAAAGAATTTTGACTTGCCAAAAGAAATAAGGGAAGTATTATTCGTCCTCTGCTTTAGGACACATTTGCAGCAGCTGATTTCCACAAAACCTGCATCAGAAATGACTGAGAATAAAAAGTGAGGTCCATTTCCAATGCTGTGTTTTCTAGAGGGAAGGTTCTTAAACCAGAATTATCCTGAAAGCTCAGAGATTATAACATTAAGGGCACAAGCCTGCAGTCCCTGGGGAACATCGGAGTTTCCCAATTCTCCCTCCTAAAGTTGCAGGCATGGCTTTGTCTTTGAAAAGGGAGCTCCCAGATCTGATGCCTCCACAAGCATCTCCACAGCTGCCGCAGAAATAGGGGTGCTTTCTGACACTGCAAAAGCAGCCTTGGAAGATCTCATACAGGTCAAAAAGGGGGTGCCCTGGAAGACCAGGGAGCAGGTAGAGGCCAGGGGAGCATCCTATGGTTTCTCCAGCACCACCCTTGCCAGTGCGCCTCTCTAGATGGGCTCAAAGGTCTCTCTAGAGGAAAACGAGAAAAAAGGAGTTCAGGAGCAGAGATTGGTCCGATTGCTCCTTCCGACATGTCTGCAACATCCCAACAGGCCATGGGATACTTGGCCGTTTCCGTGTTCAAAGGTTTCCTAAACAGAGTCACAACCCACAGGGTTACTCTTTGAATCACATATCCTGCTTACGTTGTACATAAAAACACATCCTTGCATATCAAAGAGTGGAGAAAGCTTTATTGCACTGTGGTTCTACAGATCCTGCTCCAGTGAACTCCCAGTGGAATCCATTTCCTTTCTTCTGTCTTCCAGCAATCTACTTTCCATGCCCTAATAGAGGTTTGTCAATTGTTCCATTCCTCTTACCTGCTATCGGTAAACTGTCCATCCTTTGATCAATGGACACCGAGCAGGCAATGCGCTATCATCTCCACCATTAGCCTGCCTGAAATGAATGGAAACTGGGCAGGAACACAGCCCTTATTACGGCTGTCAATTGCAATTAAAATGGGTATACAAGACTGATCTCCAAAGCAGCAGCTGTATCGACAAGCACATGGCAAACACTCCTGGAAAAGACAGATCCATCTCCAAACCCACCTTGTCACAGTGGGCACTGTTCACGCACAGAGGCAAGCTTATCCTTGGGTCCAAATATAAAGGGATTCCTTGGACATATCACTTAGTTCCTAGGGCATTGCTTGATCAGGACTTGCAACAAGCACCAGCATTCCTCAAGCTCAGAATCAAACAAAACATGAACTCAGAGATGCATGAATCCAAAGTCGAATAAAAGAGCAAGGCACTTGCTCCGATAAAGTCGGAGGCACTTAAAGGAGAGGGAAACCTGCTTCAAAGTGAAATCCTTCTCTCCCAGAGCTCTGCTATTAGCCATCAAGAGGAAAACTAGTTGCGTGGAAGATTCAAGCCCAAGGTTAGAGGATAGATAAATGCATGCATCTCCTGAGGTCACTTCTAGCTTGGCTCTTCCTTTGATTTTTCTGGGAAATAAAAGAGAGACACTTGAGTGAGCAAATTACACGTTTTACTTGCGACTCACAAGCCCTACAACTCCCAGCATGCTCCAGCCAATCGTGCCAGCAGGGGCATTCTGGGAAGTGTAGGTCTTTTTTTTTTTTTCTGCCTAAACATGCATGGGATTGCATCTGCAACAGATGGGAAAGGTATGGGGGCAGATCTGCAGGAACCAATCCGAATCAAGCAGAGCTGATAAAAGACCAGGAGCCTTAGACTGTTGCGACCTGCGTGTGAAGTGGTCTCAATCCTGAAACATTAAAACCTGACACTGAAACAGCGGCAATATCGGAACTGATTTGTCAGGACTGGAGAGCTCTCTTTTATTATTGATCAGGATTCGCAGTGCCTGGAACCGAAGTGAGGGATACCAACAAGGATACGGGGAGGGGTTTCAACCCTTGCAAAAAGAAAACAAAAGCAAAAACCCGGGGTCCACTCATTGTACCGATTGCAGCTGCACGAGTTCCCGAAATGGGAAGGATCTGCTTTTAGCAGGCATTTTACAGAGGGCGCCCTGCCTTGTAAGCAAGATACGTACATGCACGGTTGCTTAACACGCTGCGCCGCCGCCGCCGCCGCCGCCGCTCCCCCGGGGGTGCTCCCATTTGCTCGCAAGCTGCCGCAACTCCAAGCGGGGCGGATGGCCACCAATCCTCGAAAGGGGCAGGTTGACGTCCCTTCGCGGCTCCGCGGCTGTAAGGCCTTCCTGCCCGCTTTGGGGTTTGTTCGGGCCTTCCAATGCGATTTCACATTTAGCTGCTGCCCTCTAGTGTTCATCCGGCGGACTTTCAACCCGGTGCTCTCCTCTGAGCGTTGATTCCCACGCGCTTCAGCTGCAATTCTGTGCGCGGTAGGACACGAGAGAGTCCTACAAGTCCCAGCATTCAGCATGTCTGGCTGAGGAATGCTGGGAGCTGTAGGACTGTTTTTCTGTCAAAGATGCGCAGGATTGCACCCTTATATATATTTAATTGCAAGCCCTTGGGCTCATCCCAAGTATGAGATGGATTGACTTCACGAAGGAAGCCCAGCCCTGAATTTCCAGTAGCTGAGCTGGACCATGAAGGACAGGATATTTTGGAAGGTGCTTATTCATAAGGTTGCTGTAAGGCAGGGGCAACTGGATGGCACATAGCGACAATAAGGACACCCTTACCACCTCCACCCACAAAAGACAATTCCTGTTTTCCACTGTGCAGACAGTCTTGCAGTGACTTCTCCAGACTGGGGCAGTCGGCCATTCTGGCTGCTTGTCAATTCCATTTGCTCATGTTAAGTGAATCACTCCTTTCACTTAAGGAGGGAATGGTCAGCCCAGGGCATCTGTAATAGCTGCATGAACTTAGAGGATATACAGATGCAGCTTCTACCCTTTTGTTCAAGTGGGGGAAATAGTTCTCTGTTTGCATTTTTGTCTGTCATGAAGTTGTTAGACTAGGCCTAAGAATAGATGGCAACCACCCTGGGCCAGTGTCTACAATCAGCATGCAAGATTTGCATTTTCAGAGCACTCTTTCTACAGTTGCCATCTTTTGAGCTGGTAGCCCAGTCAACTGCAGCAAGAGCTCCTGGATGAAGCTTCAACAGAAAGGCACAAAAGACCAGGCTAATTTCCATCTGTCCTGTTGCAAAACCCATCTCTTCCACAGGTTAAATCTTTTGCTGTGCCTGCTACGGAGCATCTCTTGAGGTATAATCAAGGAGGTCATGTCCAAAGCCCCTCTAAGCCAGCTTCCTCAGCTCGGCCCATCACCTTTCCTCTTAGTCTTTCCTCTGCAAGCTCACCCTTAGTCAATAATGTTGGTTTATAGATGAAATCATCGTTTAAAGGGAGAGCTGATTTCCAAGTGACCTGGCTGAGCACAGCTAGATAGGCTCACATTAAGGTTTATTATGTAGGCGAAGTCTTATATGCACTAAGAATCCAGATGTAATTCTATGTCATAGCAAGTTGACTCTGTACTAATGTTATATAGGGCTAGTTTGGGGGAAAATACATTGGCAGCCTTTTGGCCACCGCAGTACATTTAGGGCTTAGTCTCTCTCTCTCTCTCTCTCTCTCTCTCTCTCTCTCTCTCTCATATATGTGTATGTGCGTGTGCGCATGCGTGTATTACTGGGGACAGAGATGACAATGACTGTATTCACACAACACAACAGGCAACCCGGTTTGATCTACCTGACAATCAAGTGGTGTCTGTCATGGTTTCCATTCAGTCTTCCCACGGATGTCACAGAACCCAGCAGCTGCTGTACCTGAAATTCAATCCCATGGTACATCATCATTTGCCCATGTTGTCTGCCTCTTCCCCATTGCTCCAAACCTAGAGGCGGGTGAATGAAGCACCTCTTGCAGTTTCTATTCTTTCCAGGGCACTCTGCGGTAGCTGCATACCATGGAAACCAAGATCCTGGGTACAGACAGCATGACAAGCCATGGTGGTACAGAGAAACCATAGAACAAACCATTGTTTCTTACCATGGTTCCTAAATATCAAATTACTATGGTGAAATGCTATGACTGGGTTCAGACAACACAACAGACCAGCAATAATAAAAAGCCATGGCTTACCATGTTGTCCAAATCCAGTCAAGAGTATATATAAAACATCTTTTGAGCTCCTCACCTTGCAATATGATCACCCGGAATAAGCGGGTGATCAAGCTATGATCCATACGAATACTAGACTTTCCTGGCAGATGTGTGCAGAAAAGCACAAAAGCAGGCCAGGCGTTTTCCCTCTGGTCACTTGGGAACCACAACTCTTTTTCAGTCTAACATTTGTGCTGAGCCCTCCAAAGATCAGATATTGAGATAACAGCATGAAAGGCTTGCTCCGAATCCCTCTAAGTCAGTATCAACAGCCTAGCCATTATCTTTTCTCTCTGTCTTTCCTCCCTGAGGACTTCCTTACTCAACTGCGCTGACAGGTCAATGAGGTCATCAAAGCTGCTGCTTGAATGTGCTCATTTCTCACTGGCCAGTTGAGGAGCATGGCAGTTACTAGATTTATAGAGTTCTCTGTAGGAAAAGCCTTGTACGAAAAATGATATAATTCTATTTTATAGAACATTGTTCTAATAGCATGTAAATACTAGTTTTGGGGGGGAAAAACTGAATGTTTTCAGTATTTTGAAATTGGGAAAGAGTCACCTGGTGAACAATGAAAGTTTTGCATTACCTCAAGCCCACCAGACAGGTAAAATTGGAGGATGTTTGTTCTTTATAGTGTAAAACCACTTTTTAGAAATTAAAAAATTCATATTAATTTTTCCCTGTGAATGTAGAAATAGAGGGCTTCCCAAATATGCCAAAATGCTAATTCAGACTCTCAGAGGAAATGGATTGTCCATACCTTCTGCTTTAACTACTTTATTTAAATGCTCTAAGTACACACTGACTTCTCCTGTCTCAGCAAAAGCTGTATTAGCAAACTGCCTTCACCCAGCCCACTGGTTTTCCAGGATAACCTAACTGGTGCTGAGGGGTCACAGATCTGTCTGCAGGTGCTAGCTGCACTTTTTGCATGGAGATGAGGAAGGACCAGCAAGAACATAAATTCTGATTGAGCAGGTAGAAAGTGCTGTTATCAGAGAGCTTCAAGATAAAAACTACTCTGAATAAAGTGAGAGCAGATTAGAAAAAGACTTCCTCAATCTGTAGGCAGCACTAGAGATTGAAAGAGAAGCTCAGAGCTGTAGCTTAAGCTCAATCCAGGCCAAAGACCTGTTTTGGAAAAATGCATTAGCTAAAGTTAGAGGCAGAAAAAAAGAATTACAGGACAGAGTCACAGATCAGAAAAAGGAGAAGAGCAACATGGAAATAGATCTGACTTACAAGCTTAAGGTGATGTGGCAGAAGTTGGATCCAGAAGCTGAACATAAGGCGAGTAAAACCCAACAAACTGACCAAAACAAAATCTGTAAATTCATTGAGAAACAGAGTCAAAGCTTTGAAAGAAATGGCAGAGAATCTTTTAGAGAAGGGAATTTCAAAGTAAAAAAGTAGAAAACTAATTGCTGCAAGTTGAAAACAGTTCTTTCTTGATGGGCTATGATTTAAGTGCAGAAGAAAAATGACCTTTAAACAGAAAAACTACAGGAGGATGCTGAAATCGTGACATTGAACAAAGGGCAAGAAACAAAAGACCTCACATGCAACCAAAACATCCTCAAGATCCAGAGTGTATTCATTCACCAGTGGAACAGTGGAAGAGTGGAACAGAAAGCTGGAGGAATTAAGAAATTAAGAATTAAGAATTAAGAAAAGGAGATTTTTGAAAAAAAGTAACATTGAATTAGAAACTTGCAATTCATTCATTTGTAAGGTTAGATACTCTCCTTTGAGGCATCCACTTTTTTAGTTCTTTAGCCACCTTTTCTTTAAATACTTCTGTAACGCACTCTACGTGGGGCTACCCTTGAAGACGGTCCAGATACTTCAGTTGGTTCAAAATAGAACTGCCAGGCTGCTGACGGGGACGGGGCGTTATGGTCACATGACTCCAGTTCTCCGTCAGCTTCACTGGCTTCCCATTGAAGTCCGGGCCCAATTCAAGGTGTTGGTGATGACCTATAAAGCCCTAAACGGCTTGGGTCCTGGTTACCTGAAGGAGCGCTTACATCCATATATGCCCAGCCGCCCCTTGAGATCAGCGGGAGAGGCCCTTCTCCAGGAGCCCCCCGTGAGAGAAATTAGAAGGGTAGGTACTCGGAGGAGGGCTTTCTCAGTGGTGGTGCCTAAGTTATGGAATGCGCTCCCCAGAGAGGTCCACCTGGCGCCGTCGTTATTTGCTTTTCGGCGCCAGGCGAAGACCTTTTTATTTAAGCGGCATTTTAACTGTTAATATTAATTGATCTTATCTGGCCAGGGCGGCTTATTTTATATTGTATTTTTTGGATTTTTAATGTTTATATGTGTTGTAATTTATTTTATAATTGCCTTTATTTATTGTTTGTAAGCCGCCCCGAGGCTTCGGCGAATGGGGCGGCATAAAAATGTTTTAATAAATAAATAAATAAATAAAAAATACACAGGAGACACATACATGGAGTTCCCCCATGGCCCAGGTTGTCTTGTGTGATAAAGGGAGCAAAGCCTCAAGGAGTGCTTAGTGGAAATGGAACATCAAAAGGCTGAGTACTTCCACTTGCCTCAACGCACCACCTTCAGTACCTCCAGACCAGCGTTGCAAAGGATGCTTGATGAGAACGATGGAGTATTGTTCATACATGGCATTATACGGTTGTTTGAAAGAGGGCTGAGAAAGGTTATACCTCTAGGTGTGAAATGCATGAAGGGCTCTGAAGAGAAGATCCAGGTGAGAGCTGGGAGGAAGGCTGCCACAGGTGAGAAGAGTGGCTGCTAGTCAGTATTTGTAGGCTAACCTGGAAGGTCTCTCATGGAATGCAGAGTATGGAATGCATTCTTGTAAAGAGTGTTATCTTTTTGTGTCACATTATTCTTTCTCATTTTTAATGCTCAGCTGTTGAATTACATTAGCTTATACTGTTCTGTTGGAAATTGCATGTATTGGTATTTCTACTATGCATTTATCTACTGACAAACATTAAGGCTATTCATAATTGTTAATACTGTATTTCTAATATTGTTAGATCAATCCCTTTTCATTTGATATGTTGTCAGCTGCTTTGGACACAAGGTTGTGGAAATAGATGACCCTGACTATGGATCCTCTGCCCTAGACATGTAAAGTAAAATTGTGCATTTTGTTGGCAAGGTGGCTTGGCACCTGTAGAGCTTAGGATATTTATGCAAAATTCCATGTGAGAAATCCTTTGTATTATTTGAAAATAACAGTCAGCCATCCTTTACAAAGGACCTGAGACCCCATAAAAGACAGCAAGATTTCAAGGAAAGCATTTATTAAAACTTTTCATTCACCCCATTAAATCTCCTTCATGCAATGTGCTTTGTTTCAAAACTACATTAGCTTTATTCCTTTATGTAAGTGTTCTGTACAAGAAATGGCTTAACCCATACACATTTATTTAAAACTTTTGTATACCGTCCACTACCAATGGTCTCGGAATGGTCTTACAATAAAACAGAATGGGGCACAGCATCTATTCTGTACAATAAGACTGCACTTAAAAACACAATCTAAACCTTAAAATCCTGGGAAAAACAGTTTTGGTCTGTAGCAGGAAAGAATAAAGTGTAATTGCCTGTTACTATTATTGCATTGTATTTGTATTCCACCTTTTCCCTCTTGCTTAGAGTCCAAGCTGGCCATACCCAATTCACTCCATTTTTATCCTCATAGCACTGCGGGGCAGATTAGGCTGAGAGTTCATGGCTGGCCCAAAGTCAGTACTAGCTTATTTTTATTTTAGATGTTTGCCTGCCCCATTGGCCATTAGACATCGGGTGGCTACTAATACAAACTTGGCTGAGGGCAACTACAATCTAGATCACCCGTCTCCAGTCCAACCCTCTAATCACCACACCACACGGACAGGCTTTGCTGCTGCCTCTCCCACCCTTTTGTAACATTAGCAATGTCTGAATATTATACGAACAAGCTTATCTTTGCTATCTAAGCTTCGGTTTCTACTTTGCAGTCCTTGCCTAGTAGCACTGTCTGTTCTTTGTGCCAATTGTCTGATCCAAAAAGGTCACATGGAGCCCTTCAGATGCTTTTTTGAGAGAACCTATAAAGCATGGAGGGCTTGTTTTAAAAGAAGCTATTGTTTTCATTGCCCCAAAGGCTTGCTATCCCAGACTGTAAGCACATCTGCTCCTTTAAATAGAACATGACCAAGGATAGGCATAATGTGCTGTTAACATGCTCCCCGCAGCTCAACAACACATTGCATGCCCAAAAGCTGAATTGTACAACCAGCGCGTTATACCAATAAATCCCACAGAGGTGTTAAAACGGGCTAATTGATTCGACAGCATGTAAAGAAGCCCCAGCTTTTTTATGCCAGTGGTGAAAGGCATAAAAAAGCTTTCCCCCACCCGTTAAAGTTGCAGACACTCTTGAGAGACATATCCATGGGTTCACCAAGAACTTCAGCCTCAAGAGCACCGAGTGTGCCCCAGTGCTGGATTGAGTTGTACCCCCCTCTCCAGCCATAGAATAGGTTTAGCTTTCGTGAATGTGAGGCATGAAAAAGAATGATCTTTGCTTGGATCAGCTCATTTCTGAAGTGCTCCCCTTTCACTTTGTGGGGCTTAGTGTTCTCAAGACAGGCTGGGTTTCTGGAGAACATTGTGCAAACTTCTACTTTAAGACTTGTGTCTGAACAGCATTTATTTAAGTGTGGGATTTCTAATGAACAGGGCCTGGGGGAAAGGATCTTTCTAGGGGATGCAGAGCAAGAAAACCAGTTGAGAGCTTCAGGTTCCCCTTTTCACACAATTGCCCTCCTTGAATTGGATCCTGAACTGCTTCTGTCCAGATCCCAGGTTGGGGCTAGGTTAGGGCCTGTTTCACATGGTCACCACTGACTCAGACATGGCAGCAGGAACCTGCCAAGGGACAGAAGCATGGCCTCTACATACCACTTCCAAATCTGGTGAGCACCTCAAGCCCTATTCAGACGTTTCATAGCATTTATCTCTGTGTGTGAGATAAATACAGAGGTAGGGATGGGACTGTGCAGGAAAGTCCCACCTCCAATGGCTCTGTGCACACTAGGCCCTGCCCCTTCTTTCCCTAACCTTCTTCAATTGATCATGCAGACCATCTGACTCAAATGGATTGCGAGGAGATCCTCCATCCAAGAGCTGAATGCAGCAGCAATTCAACAGCAAACCAACTGAGGGATTGATGGGGTCAGTGCTTCCATCCCACAAGGCATCCAAGTTCTCGAGGAAAAGGTTTCTCAATGGCTTCATTTTAGTGCTATCAAATCAAATGCCACTTTCCGTGTTCCAAAGCTAAGTTTCGTTTCATAGATTCTTCAGTTGGGACATTCTTCACTAGTACTTTTCATGACCAGGTGAGATTGTATAAATGTACTGCATGCGCCTGTGAATTAAAGGTATGGGCTGCAATACAGTATTATCAAGTGTTGATTACAATGTCCTTACAATCACAGTATGATTTGCTAATGTAATAACTAGAATACCTTGTGGAAGGGTTCTGATTTTCAAGTTTTACATTGTCTCTAATCAGCTCTTGTCCACTGAGCCGTGGTGAGGCTGCCTATGTTTCAAGGCACCAGTTTCCAACTTCCACAGCCATCCAAATGTCTGTGAAGGCTCCCATTTTATAGACCGAAAAATGTCTTACAATTCCCTGCAGCATGGAGTTGTGGATTTGTTTTTTGTCTAAACATACATAGGATTGTGCCTTAATCTGTTACGTATGTACTGGAATTTAAAAAAGTGCATGCAAGCTGGAAACAGAGAGGTTCAGTGGGTATATCATGTTTTTTAGTCTGGCATGGGGAAACAGAAATGTTTTGCCAAAGAAAACAAACAGAAGCCAATACAAAAGTGAATAATTTATTAGAGCTTTAATTGAAACATTTTCTACAGCTGCTATGTGACAGATTGGGAGGTCTTCAGTGTTTAGAAGAGCATACGTATCTAAAGACCACAGAGACTTTTGTTGTATTTTAAATACGGTTACGCACTGTTCGGCTGCTCAGTTGACCATGCATCTTCATCCCAGAGCTTGAACACACTTGAAAGACATGGAACTCAAAAGGGACCTGGAATGATTTAAAGATGCGTTAAAAACACAAATGCTTCTTTAACAAAAAGCTGAAAGCTTTGGCTAATAAGAAAAGCAAAGGTCTGGATCCGACTTTCCTGGGTCTCCACTCACAGGAGGTGCTCCCACTGGAGGAAAGGAGAGGGAGCGATTTTTGCTGATTCTGCCTTCCCTTGTAAAAGCTGCTCCAGAGGGTTCAATGACCCTCCAAGCGGTGGGAGAGGTGGTGTCAGGAAGGAATTACGGAGGCAGGGGAAATTGCAACTATCACCTCCTCTGCCGGAAGTTTCCTCGAGATCACACACCCTTTCACAGACAGACAGAACCCTTCTATTTTATAGAAGGGCAACTCTACAAGTATGTCAGCATTGCTAGATTTTGCTGTATTGAGTATAGCACCAGTCTGAGGACAACGTTCAGAAGAAGCAAGGTTGTTACCTTCTGGGTTAGCCAATTTGCTTTGCTGTTTATAAAATACTGTTTCAATTGTGATCTGATATGGAAAAACGTATTAAAAGCAGCCTAGCTATAGGTCCCTGCTCAAGAGATATGGTGGATTATTTTACAATGCAGACTTCATTTTTCTCGGGTGAAAATACTGATATTGGAGGACTCTACGCTGTAATATAATGTCAAAATATAATTAAGGCCAGGTCTCCAGTTAGTATGCAGCATTTAAACTCTACCGACGTAAGCAGAGCAGATTATACTTGCTGAAGATCTGGCATACAGAACTGTGCTGTTTAATATAAACGATGTTGTTGTTGTTGTTTTAAAGGAAGTTATTGCAGGCTGGAAACTTCCATGAGTATCCTGCTAAATGAAGGGGGCTTGGCTTACAAGCATTATGACAAATTGTGGTAATACAGATCTACCACTTTACTGCCTAATGCAATGCTAGAAAAGAATGTTAGGACTTTTTTTTTCCAGGAAAAAAAATACACAAAAAAAGGATACAACAAGAAAGGATACGCTTTGCATGACACAGTTTTACTGCAGTATTTACGCAGGAATGTTTCTAAGGAAGAACAGCAGAATGTGGTTTAATCTTTTTATCCTCTCTGTTACAGTTCTCATTCTTTATAGTGCGTTCTTTAAAAATGTGGTCATTTTTTGATCTTCTGACCCAAGGCAACAGCACCAAGCACAACAGTTCTGAAGCCACAACAAATGCAGTTTTAAGTACTGTATTAGTACAATGCCAGAGTACATAGCAAAATTCTGGTTTTACACCCTGTTCAAAGGCTAATTTCTCTCACCAGTGCAGACGCAGTCTCTGACAGAGGCTGCCCAATGGCACCATGTGCGAGAATATGCTAGCATGGTTCAGTACTAACTCTGCTACCTGTCCAAGCTATACAAGATACATTTATTTAAAACATCGTCAGTGAAATCATACATCAGCAGTCAACTAACCTCAGGACAGTGTTTATCTGCTACTTGGCACTTTTTTTTAACAAGCACTGAAACGAATAAAGGTAAACCATTTCGCTAACATTACTCCTTGGCACTGCAGTGACTTTGTCCCCTTTCGTACAAAGACCTCAAGCACCATGCCGTGGGAGGGGGTATGCATTTATTCATCACCTTGTCCTTGGCGCACACATCTTTTTTTCCAGGTGAGATTTCCTGCCTGGAACCAAGGTGCAATACTATCTCCTTGACTTGGTGCTGAGCCTTGAAGCAGGATAAGTCTGGAATCGGGAAGTGCGTCTAATATTGTGGAGAGCACTGAAAGTGCCTCTAAAGCTCAACAGGAAGTCAGTCAAGAACATGTCCTTTCCCTTTTGGTGAGGGGAAGGGTTGGTGGCAAGCATAAATTTTAGTTGCACCCCAGTGCTCTAAAGCCCTGGCAACAGGACATATCCATCTTATAAAAGCACCATAATGTTTTGATCCAATGTTGTCAACCACAGCCATTTTCCCTGATGAATAAGCAGCAACATTGCTAAGAATTCTATAATAATTTAACATTAGATTAAGTTAGGAAGGTTGTAGCACAGCAGAATGCAATAGCCAAAAGCCACACTCAAACAGGATTTTCAATCTGTGTTGATTCTGCTTCCAATCTATGACAATAATCAGTTTTACTTCATGGACTAGCATATAAAAACAAACATTTTCATTAATGAAAGATCTGAGAAAAATACTCAAAATTAGGACAATGCTGGGATATTCTTTAGAAAATTTTACAATAGGATTCAAATGCATAATTCTATCAAATTTAGTTAATGATCAGGAGTGTGGTTTTCTAAATAGCCAGAACCAATCAAATCTGCCCTCTACCCAAATAGCCATGAATCCAGGCTAAGGTATGTTTTAATCTTGCTTAAATGGGACCAAAGGACAGAGCACTCTGCATCACAGAATTGATCAGCTTCCATTCTGGGGGGGCAAAACAGAAACAGGGAACTTTGCAAAGGTGTGCAAGAAAGAAAAGATGTAGGTGATGGTCCCAAGCATTTTAAAAATTTGGCCCTGTTCACCTAGGGCTCCCAAACGCAAGTCCCTGAGTCAAAAATGTTCCCCACCACTACTCCTTTAGTATCTGCAGAAAGAAAACAGTATTGAGGCATCATGCTATGTAAGAGTCAGATTTTAGTAATTAGGACATCATTAGCTGGAATACAGTAGATAATTCTGTGCTTTAAGGAAATAATGGAAATGAAGTTTCCATCAGATTTGGGAAACCAGGTCGAGTTTTAGAAAGACATATGACTTTTCAAAAGCTTATTGGAAGAAAATCCTTTGCTGCTAGTAATTCTTAAATAAAAGACACCATGCTGACACACAGAGAGTGTGTATGTATGCGGAGAGGTTACAGTTACACCTTTTGTGTATGAGCAAGAAAATACCGACAATCTTCCTATTTTCAGGAAATGCATATGAAAGTTAGTTCAGATGAGTTTATATGTAGGAATGATTTGGGGAAATTGATTTGTCTTTATATCAAACAGGTTTTGTTGGAGAAGACAAACAGGGGTTAAAGAAGTTTAAGTTTGCTTTTTTATGAATGTTTGTTTTTAGCAGTAAATTTGGTGGCTGCCCAAATACCACTGTAGTCATTTTTCAGCTGCCCATCCTCTGCATAGCTGCTGTTTTGTTAGGCACACAGAATATAATCTGAAGCTTCCAAATGCATGCATTGAGCCACCCCTGCCAAAGTGACAGAAGAGCAAAATTCAAGCTGTAATTAAAACATTTAAAAGTTTCTGCCTGCTGCTGAGAACACAATAAACTAGGTGACAGGTGAACCTTTCTAGGAGGGAATTCCAGAGGTGAGGCCACAATTGCACCTGTATTCTACAGTTCTAGGCAGAAGAGTGAAAGAGAGACACAAGGCATTCATGGTCTTTCATTCTAAGTAATGGAATAATCTGTAAAGGAATTCACCCTGCTCCACTCCCTGCCCACTTAAGATAGAAAAGTGTTGCTATGTTGATCCAAAAGAAGTTGAAAAGCTTAAGACACCAATTTGTGTTCACATTAAGACAAAGGCCTAACATTCATGTTATAGGGTGAAGGTCAGGTTGAAATGTTTTCCCCCAGATTTCTTTTCTAAACATGGAAGAACACTGAATTTGGTGAGCTCCCACCTCCAGTATGAAGGAACACCGCTTTATCCCCTGAGTACTGGCAATGCAACAGCCTCGGCGGTTTTTTCAAATGCTGCAGACAAAATGAGACACAAGAGATTGGCTTACCATCAGATTCGCTTCCCTTTATCTTTTCTCTTCTCTTCTCTGGAATCTGGCTTTGGTCTTGCTGATCGAGCAAATTGCTAGGATTATATTAAGGAACATAAATCTAACAGTAAATTTTAGCAAGAACAATTGATATGCATTAAATTATTTAAGTAATAAAACCTATGCAACATGTTTTTGTTCCAAGATTATGACATTCCAGTCTCTATTTATAGCCATTCATTAAAAAAATTATGACGTGTTGAACAAACTGTTTTGGAAATGCACAGAAACATCCATATCTTTGATTTGCTAGTACTGAGAAAGAAAATTAAACTAAAAAGATGTATCAATACAGCCAAAAGTAGAGATACAAATATTTCTGCTTTATTATGAAATTTTATTTTGAAAAATTGGGTTAATTTAAGTAATTTCAATCTGTATGTGAAAAGAACCTGAACTTTATAAATCCCACTCTTTTTTGTTCTGTGCATCAAGTTGCTTGGTAATATGCAATACATATTGTGCTACTGATTAAATATTATGTTCTGCACTACGTATATATTATCACAAGTAAATATGAGTAGGGCTGTATTCTCAAGTCTGAAATGCACCAACTACACTTATAATATTAATTTATATTTTATTATAATAGTTTATTAGAATGCAAAGAAAATACTATTTAAGCTTGGGAAATCTTGACAAAACCAGTCACCAACAACAGGATGAGGAATTAGGTAATGCACAGAGACTGTGGTCCTAACTTGTACCTTTAGCAAGTGCCACATCTGACACAAGTTGGCTTATGCTATTTTAAACCGTCCTGAGACTTCAGTAGCAGATGGGATAAAGTCTTAAATAAACAAAACAAATAACATTGAAACATAGAAACAGAGTGAGTCAGAAGGGGCCTATCTATCTATCTATCTATCTATCTATCTATCTATCGTTTTTCAGAGAAGATTGTTTGATTTGCCCTTCAACTTAAATGGGAATAAATAACATGCAGAGAAACTTCACCATACACTGAGCAAGTATAAGACTGAAAGGCAAGATTCTGAAAGCAGGGCTAATATAGAAATGAAAATGAGAAAAACACATTGGGAAAGGATACGACCACCATGGGCTTGTCAAACAGAATATATCCATTTACTTCTTTTAAGGCTTTAGCAGCAGCTTTTTCATTAGGAAGCCCAATAAAAGCTTGTCCTTTCATGCGGCCTTCTTTCATTAGACGTATGTCAAACCTAGAACAAGAGACAAGAACATTTCAACTCTTTATCTGACATCTAGTACATGTTGCAATGAACAATTAGCATAAGGAAGGAGCAGTGATAGTCATGTAATTCTCTCAGAATTCATACCATGCAAAGACAGAAAGCTGCATTTTATAACTATAGACATCTTTGCATTCAACATGTCTTCCAAGCCTAAGGTTCCTGTGTGGTTCTAGAAAAACGGGGCAGAATTTAAGTTCTATTGAAGCAGGGAAAGTCATTATCTTCTTCTGCTACTGCTCCCACCCCAACCAAATCCAACTATCTAATTTCCCAAATTCAAGGATCCATGGAATAAACTGGAAGTTCTCTGGATATACAGCATGCTTGAGTTGACCCATTTATTATCCATATTCACCCCAGTGCCTCTAGTTTCCAAGATGCATATTTGTTTATCTTATTTAAAATATTTATATCCCGCCCTATAAGAAAAACATCCCAGGATGGCTTACAAAAACTGTAACGATCGATAAACAAGCATCAAATAACAATAGTATCTGGGGAGCACATGTTCCCTTAGTCTCAGCTGATTTCCTATTTTTTTTCATTTCTTCTGTTCATTGCATTGCTCTTCTTACTACTTCTGGGACTTATTCTTTCCCACTGTGTCAGTTTCCCCTTCAAACAATCTCACTTCCTCTCCCATCTGTCCTCCATTCAAGCCTTTCCTTTCATAACTTAGTTGCTTTTTCATCCCTTCATTGCCAGAAGTTATTCCAGCAGTATCTGGAATACTCTTATCTACCCGCTCTGCTGGTTTTGAACCCATACATTTCATTGTCCTCTTTCACCATCGTTAGAACTTTAAGCAGTGGGAGATGGGGAAGGGGAAGAATCTACTAGAAACCAGAAGAAAACTAAGTGCATGGATGTACCAGTGTGGCGTAGTGGTTAAGAGCATGGGACTGGGACTCAGACGATCTGGGTTCTAGTCCCCGCTCAGCCATGGAGCCAACCGGGTGACTTTGGGCCAGTCACAGACTCTCAGCCCAACCTACCTCACAGGGTTGTTGTTGTGGGGATAAGATGGAGGAGGAGATGTAAGCTGCCTTGAGCCCTTTGTAGGAAAAAGGCAGGATATAAATTGAAAAATAAATAAATAAATAAATAAAATGTATACTTCGGCTCACCCAGTCAAGAGAAGTCCAACACATAAAAGCAGTCAATGAGCCATTACTTACATGATACGCTCGGTTTCTGATGAAAAGTCAACATATCTTCCAAAAATAAACTTCAAATCCTGGATTAAAATAAAGCACATCAGGAAAAGTTAGCAACACTTGCTAAAAGAACCAAGAAATATTATGTGCATTTTCCACTTACCTTTTCCTGAACTTGCTTCGACAGATTCTTCACATAAATTCTACAATTTGGATCACCAGGCTCATAATTTTTGAAGACAGAAAGTGTTTCCATTTCTTGAGCACAGAAAGAGAAAAGTTATTTGTGATGTGGGATATGCATTTTAAGAAGATTTTTATTCTTAAATCTTTACAGCCAATTCTCAACATAATGTATTCACTACGTCAAACACTAAAATATTAACATAACATGAGCAACATTTCAAAAATTAAATAGCAAGAAATTAGCACTGACACTGCAGGGTATAAAAGCCTTTCCAATTGCAAAAATCACCTCTTTTAGACACTCTGCCTTTCTCCAGCTCTCTTTTAGAAATGAATTCTGAAGGTATTTCATCCTCCTCTTCTTCCATCTCTTCTTTATGGTTGGAACTGGGGGCAGGAAAGATTTTTCCAAATCCTTCATTAGAGATTTCATCAGCTACTGCATGAACATCTAAGAAAAAAGGTCCAGAACATTTAATTGGCTCATTATCCAGAGGCACAAGAGATCTCAGACAAATGAAAATCAGAAATAGTTACTGCATCCAATCTAAAATTTAAGCATGCTTAAATCCAATAAATTTAAATATACTGTAGCCACTATCAGTGTTAAATAAATCCCTGCCAAAGGATAGAAACAGAAAGTTATAATGCTAAAACAAATGAGAAGCTTCAATGTTGAACAGAAATAGAAATTTACATCTGCAATCTGAAAAACCCATCACACTTGCTGAACTGACTGCCAGTAACACATTTTGAACATTCAAGGTAATGCAATTATATTTAATCTTACAACAGTCTTACATCAGTATTATTTCTGCCATGTTGTAGATGGGGCTAAGGGGCTGCTTGAGGCCATTTATGGACTTCCAGAGGAAAGGCACAACTCCTGAATTATAGCTCCGTTTCTAAGCTGCTACACCACATCTGCTTCTAACTACATCACTAGCTTGTAACGGTGTAAGAAGATGCTCATAGCATACCATCATTGTGCTCCTGGCTTTTCTGAAGAGTGGCTGGTACATCTGAAGAAATGTGAAACTCAATTTTTTTAGGACCTACAGGCTGCGGTTGCTCAAACACGTCTGAAGGCAACAGTGCAGGGTGCAAATTACTGTTTAAAATACAATACCAAGTTTATTTTAAGTTGTTTTACTGAATGAATTTTCCACATGAACATCTATTCCCAAACTATTTTACATTGTTTTGAAGATATTTTTTTCAAACTGTCTTTTAAAGACCTTTTGTTTAAAAACCACACACAATAACAGGTAGTCTAAAAGCAATCTAACTTGTTAATTTTTAATAACTTTTAAAATTGTTTAATAACATTTAATATTGTTGGACTCTTAAACATTTGGTATACAGGATTAAATATTGGAATATATAAGCTCAGTGTATCTTACCAGGAATTCTAAGTCACATCTTTGCATAAACTGAACAAAATCACAACTACAAAAATACAGGGATAAGTGCAATTTTACGTTGTGTGCCTAATGTGCATGCAACAGTGGGATTTGATGGCAAATCGTGGATTAATTTGTGGGTCTGTACACCATGCAGGAGCCACTTCCAATTGCTGTAAACAACCTATGAAGAAATTAATAGTGTCTGATGTCTGAACCCAGGGATGTTTGTGGGTTGACTAATCCAAAGGTTTAACTTTAGTTTGTTTAACCTGTGAAAAGCCAAAAATGTCCAAGTTCAGATGTCACACCCTCTATGGATGACTATGTTATGACTATGACTGTTATTTAAAGATGGAAGTGGAAAGTGTACAGGACACAATGTGCCCATTCTCTCATAAACATGCATGACAACCCCTGCATAGTTTAAAACCATGGGTTGCTATGTTTGAACCAGGTTTGTAAGTGGTAGTATGAAAAGGGAAAAAAAGAAACTTTAGCCTAGTAGTGGCAGCAGTAGCAGTCTTCTAATTTTTTGTTCTGTCAAGCTTTGGAAAAGTTATTGGCCTTGATCTGCAGAACAGTATCCGACTCTTCTGTGCCACTAGCAGAAATGACTACTACAGCAAATGATAGCTAGCTTAGATTAAGTCCTCCTGATCTGAGATAGGTAGCAGAGCTTGCAGAAGAATGTTCCACTGACTTGCCCTGTTCTAGAAATACTAGTTTGAACTGGCTCCCAAGGCTGCAATATGAAGCCCCTTGTTCCACTAGTGGTTATTCCTGCTAGTGCAATGCAGTTGGTGCTAGCAAACTGGCAGTGCTGGATACTGTCCAATGTTTGTTTTTTCAAATGCAGCAGTGGTAGAAGGTTCACAGAGATCTTAAGGAAATGGCAACCCTTGGAAGATGAAACTAGCAACTGCATGGTTTCTTTTCAAAAGAAATGTAGACACAAAAATACAAAAGAAAAGCCGCAAATCCACAAAAAAATAACTAAATCTGAGATACGAAACTTACAAAAATATTTTCTTTCCAATCATTTGTTATGATTACAAGGGTCTAAGTCTCATACCAACAAACAATAAGCTAAGATAAACAAGTATATATATTTCCATGATTTTTTTTCCTTGCTATGACAACAGCTTCACTCCCACACAATGGTAATTCAATTTTGTTATGTTTAAACCCTGGCTTACAGAGTGAGAACTAGATTCTATTTGTTTTTTATCAGTGGGAGTAGCTAACTAAGCCAGGGAGGAAGTGTCTCTGGCTTGGTTACTGTTACATCTGAATCTGGAACTCTGACTTATTTCAGAGTTGTAACCTAAGAACAAAGCCAAGAAATATACCGTTCTTTCAACTGAGATATCTAGAAGAAAATACAACTGAGATTGTCACTACACGGAAATACTCTTATTAAATATTTTTGTCAATACCTGTGGGGAGTAGGTAGGGAGACATTTAGTAAGTCTTTTATCTTTCTCCTTTTTCTTGCACGATGTGGCTTTGTTGGTATCTGTCGTTTTGGCTGAAGGCTTGCTAATTCCATCAGTTTTGTAAATCTGAATATTAACACACAGAATACACAGTCACCTTTCCATTATTGTCTCTGATTAGAAAACATGGAGGTTTTTTAGTCAATACCGAACAGAATCAGTCACCCACCCCTCAGGATTTCTATATATTTTTTTTTTAACGACTGGTCTGTAAGGTGGTAGAAAGTCATTTGTCAGGCATTCCACTGACCTAGAAGATCTGGATGAAAACCGAGAAGCAATAAAGACAAGCTTCCTTTTTTGGTTCTTTTCTATAAAGAATCATGCTACAAGGAAACTCAGGAAAACATAAAACCCCCCAAACATAGGATAGTTTTTAAATTTGCATTAAATTATGAATTTGCATTAAGGAAGAAGTTGGAAAGGGCAAGAGGTCTTTTTCTGTCTCAACATGATTGGGTGCCAGATTAGTAAGGATATGTGAGAGGGTCTTTTCTGTAGCTGCCCTACTTGTGAAACTCCCCTCAACCCTGCCCCACAGAGTATCTGTTTGGCTCCCTTTTTTAAGCAACCACTGCCTGAAGAAGAGAATTCTCTTTTGAGCATTCCATTAATTTTGGCAGTTTAAGCTGTCTGTTATATGCTATGGTACTTATGTTTGCTGTCTTTTAATTAGGATCTAATATGTCTTGCAAGTTGTCAGCTGCCCCAAGTGCTACTTTGATTTAACTAAAAAGGCAGGATATATTCAGACTTCTTTGATTTAAACTCATTGATTCCATGCTATCAGAGTGTCAAAGACAAGAAGAAAAATTCTGGAGATACCTCCTGTATAACAAATGTCATTACTAAGTTGTATCAGGACAATTTGTGCTTCCGATAGCCAACCAAATGCACCAGAGTTTGGTAAGAACTTTACTACAGCATACATGCAATGGGAAGTGGGGCTCACATTAATGTGCACTTATTTTACTCCTGTGAACCATTTTAAAATAGAAGACATTAAAATGAAATGCAGCTCTTAAACACTTCCAGTTACTATCAATGTTTAAATGTCAATACTATTAAAGACATTGTTTAAATGCTGAATTCTGCTAAAAGCATAAACCTAATTACGTTTAACAAGATATTTGATAAAACTAATATTCTAGTCTCCCCGTAGCTGACAGCTGGATATTAACAGTGGTGATTGTGTCTAGCACCCATTTCCACAAACAGAAATATTCAGAATTTATATTGGCCAGTTCTTCATTATCATAGCAGAAGGTCAGGGCAAGGCACAACATTTGTACCACTGCAAGTCTATTTGAACCACACACACTTTTGCTGAAAGTTACTTTTAAGGTTGAACAATGCTGCTTTAGTTTCCGAAGTCCCTAATCTCCAAGTTTACCTATCCATAGGCCAAAAGAAACAACACCAACTCCTAAAGACAACGGCTTGCTGCAGGATATCACCAACCTTTCTTTTTCTTCTTCATCTGCACTTTCATATTCTGACTCCTCTTTGCTGGAATCCTGACTGTCATCTTCTTCGGGCAAAGGAGGCTCCTCCGGCGGCAGTGGTGGAATAGGAGGTGGCAAGGGGATATACTCTTCATACTGAACAAAGAAAAAAACACAGACAACCTCTTTGACATCTGAGTCATATGTTTGATCATTCAGATCAAAGAGATCTTTGTATATAAAGTGAATGTGTGGCTGAATGAGTGGCTGGCATTTATTCATTTATTAGATTTATATCCTACTTTTTTCTAACAAACTCAAAGTGGCTTACATAACAACCCCTCCACCTCTTAATCTTATTCCCACCACCACCACCACCCTGTGAGGTAGCTTGGACTGAGTCTGTGGCTGTCTCAAAGTCAGTCATTTGGCTCCATGGCCAAGCAGGGACTAGAACCCAGATAGTCTAAGTCCCGGTCGCAAGCTCTTAAGTAGTATACTACCCTTGCTTTGGCTTTCGCATACCCTACTGCAAGTAGTGAATGGGAAGGACTGGATTCAAAGGCCTCTGTAATTCCAAAGTCACTGAGCCAGTTTGCATGTCACAGAAGTGAATCATCGCTTAATTAACACTAGATTTGCCAGGATGTCTGTGAGCTGCTTCTGGCTAACTCTGGATTGTTTAATCCGTAAGCTACACAGAGTATGTGGGCTCAGAAATTATGATAACCTATGAGTGGGGACTTGGTAGAATATTTCTGAAAGATGGAAGCAGGGATTTGCATCCCTGCAAATCTTGGGTTAATTAACCCACAATTTGCCAGCATGACATAAAACCAAGTCACTCTATAAATTTTGGATATACTTGAGAAATATAAAACAGTCACACAGGTAAGAATAGGAAGGAGCAGGAGCAAGGAAACTAAGTCTTTTATGTGTCATTGATTTCATTACAGTAACAACAAGAAGTTGGACCACTCTAAAAGCAGATTTAACTGTGGTAACAGGATAAAATCTTGAATACAGAACTTGACTTCATTCAAATTGTTGTAGCATCCAACCTCTGAAGCAATTTACCAATTGCTATTTTAAACCCATCTCCTCAGCTCTAACATTTAGGCATCTCATGAAAGCCCTTGTAGGAAATCAAATATTTCTTTAGTTACTGGCCAGAGTCTCTAAAAAGCAAGAGCAGCTTTAAACAGTGCATACAATGATGCTTTTATTTACAAAAGTTTCATACCATGGGAGGTCGAGCAGTAATTGGTCCAAAGGGAGGTGGAAGATTCATTTTGTTCATAAGATGCAAAACCTGCAGAGTAACAATAGCAATTTAGTTTTCATGTAGCATTTCTCTTTTAAGTACACAAACACCGCACATAATTATGCTAGTAATCCTAACAGCCACTGTTATAGGAGAGCCCACATTTTACAACTGCCTTGAGAAATTCTTTGCCATACTACTTCCAGTACTCTATGCTTGCAAAATCAGGCCAGGGATGTCTGTAATTGTTTCACTCTTCCTATAACCAATGAGTAGTTCAGAACAGAAAGTTCTGGGACCAGAAAAATGCATTCAAGCTAATGCTACAAGTGAAATAAGCAATATCAACTAAACAAACAGGACATATGTATCTTTCTTATCTAGCTTTATTTTTGAAATCTTTAGCTGAAAGAGAGATGGGGTAAATCTTAGCATAAGATTTGGAAATTTTTTAAAAAATGAAAAAAATCATCTGAAACATTTCTCACCTACAATAGAGATTTTACAACCAACAATAAGATCCTGTAGCTTTTATAGTAAAAAAAAAAAAAAAAGGAATTGTAGGAAAAGTGACATTTTTAGAGCCAAAAGTGAAAATGTAACTCATGCTCTAAGTGTACTTATTTTACAGTCAGCAACAAGTATGTTCATTGCAGCTACTCCAAAACAAAGAAGAGAAGCTTCAATATAGTTTAAGGATGCAACATTTAGGATGCAATACGATGCATGTTTACAGAGAAAAAATCCTACAACTCCCACCAGTACCAAGTCATCACAGTTGGCTGGGGAATGCTTAGTTGTAGGACTTTGTTCTGTCAAATCATGTGCCCTTAATCCATTAATCAGCAATAGCTGATTAAAACCCACTATTACATAAGTTACCTCTCTCCTTTCTTAATACAAGCACCGATAAAATATGTGAAAGGAAGACACCCCGAAAAGTAATATTCTTTACAACACAATAAATGAGGAAGATGATATCTGCTGACCCATGCATACGTTGACTATGTAAGTATGTTTCTCTTTAGAAGTATTGTTTTTTCTCATACACAAATTCATGCGAATTCAGGCTGCAATCCTTATGCAAAAGTACAACTGAGTGGGCGCCTGACTGACTTTTCATAATCCATATCACCTAAGATTTCATTAACAAGGCAACAACCCTAATACAACCGCCAAATATCTTTGCAATATTGACTGGCCCATAAGCAACTACTGGTGAACAAGTTCAGAAGATTCTGCAAATCATTTATGAATTTTAACAAGGATAGATCACAATGTAGTGGTTTCGCTTGAAACAGAAAAAAAGCAATGTTATGGGGTCAGTGAAAATACAGGCATTTCTTTTCACTTTCCTTTCACGATGAGCAATGCAGTAGTGGAAGAAATCTAGCTTTGGAATACTGACTGATACACACATAGCAGCAAAGTGAAACAATGCCAGTGAGTACAGGCTTATGACTCGATATCAAGTGAGAGTGTGCATCTTCACTTACCTGCACATAAAACTTAGGCACACTTGCCAAGGCATTTGCTATGTTGGCTAAGATCGTACTTGAAGGTGGGGGATAGAGATATTTAAGGCAAGAATTTATGGGAAATGTTAACCTGTGAGGGAAGACAAATCAAGGAGTTTAGATTTTAATAGACTGAAATATATGGAATTTCATTTAGCAGAAGTTCAAATATTTAGGGAACCCGTGCCCTCTTCAGATGTTTTGAACTACAACTTCCAGCAGCCTAACCCCAAGAGGGCAACAAGGTCCCCATCCTTGGAGTTTAAAAGCACTGAATAAACTGCTAGTTCTCAAAAAAACATTTTTAAAATGTCATAGACTGCCCCTGTAGCATTTTAGGATTCATGTGTTTATTGATTTATTATTATGTATCAGCCTCCTTTAATTTCTTCTTAAGTTCAGTTAAATACACCATTAGGAGCACAACTTGAAATCCACAGGATTCAAAGAACCATGCCACAAGTTCCAGGAAGGCTAGGAGTACTGTATTTGTTTTTCAGTAGTCCTGTAATCACATGAGAAGCCCCTTTAGAGACAAGGGGAATTTCAGTAGCAGTAACATGTTGTTCCAAGGTAAATATTCCATTGGGCACATACAAGTGCACCTTATGCATAGTCATAACAACTTCTTAGATCCTGATGTATTTTGAGGATATTCAAGAACTGCCATGTCCCAATAAATCTCAGCAAACAAGACCAAAGTCTACTTTGGCATCAAGACCAAAAGGAAGTTCAATCACAGAATCATAGAGTAGTGGAGTTGGAAGAGTTCATGAAGGCCATTGGGTCCAACCCCCTGCTGTTGCAGGACATCAAATTACACCATCCCACTCAACATTGAGTATGACAACTTTTGTGGTAGGGTTCCTGAATTCTATACGTATGCAAGACTTCGTTTTAGCCAAAAAAATGTTAATATTAAGAAAACATTATTTAAGGTAATGATAGAATTGTAAGTGGATGTAACTTGTGGAATCTGTATTAAGAAAACAGCACTGGTTTCCAATTTATTTGTCAAACTGTGTGCAAGCATTTTAAGACTTGGATCCAACATAACCATTTTAGCATCTTTTATCAGAACTGTAGTACCAACCCATGACTAGGAGCGATTCCAGTTTCAATTTTGAGGCAGTTTAGTTCCTTCCGTTCTTTCTCTTCTTTCACTGGTTCTTCAAGGCTTATAAAAACAAACACAAGAGAAATTTAATACACTGCAAAGTTATGCACTGTGCTGACATTACCCTAATTATACTATATGACTTGCGTTGTGTATTTAACAAGCCATTCACCAAGTAACATTTCTAAGGGAGCAATCCTATGGCCTCCAAGACAGCATCTTTGGGGCTAAAGGACAGTTAAGATTCCCAGATCCAAGGTCAGAAACAATAGCAGCTGGAGTTCCACCCACACCTCTGGTATGGAAAGAAAAATGCTGCTTACTTTCTGAGGTAAGGAATGCAATCTTGGTGGAGAGTGTTTGGAGAGGAGGGGAAGAGATGGGAAAGGGCAGCAGAGGTGACATTCACTCTCCTGGCTCCCTGTCCTCCACTGGAAGACCATGGGCCTCCAAGTTCAATAGCTTGCTATAAGATTGTGCCCCAAGTCATTCCACAGGTCTTGGGTGATCTGTATCTCTTTGGAAAAATATACCCAACAGAAGACAATAAAAGTAGAATCCATATATTTTAAAAATGATACCTATAATGCTGCTTGATTTCCTTTCCCTCCCATTTTACTTGGAGAAAAAATAGCTAATACAATTGCTCCTGTGGCAAACTACTAGGAGTTTGGTATTACATTTATATTCCTCTTTTTTTTTTGCTTTCAAGAATCTCAGGGTGGCTTACATAATCCTCCTCCCCTTAATCTTTTCCTCCCAATAATCCTTTAAGTTGGTTTAGCCTGAGAGTCAGTGACTTGTTCAAAATCAACCAGTAGGACTTATGGCCTCTAAAACCCAGATCTCCCAGATCCCAGTCCAACACTCTGACCAACTGCTAGTCCTTGATAATTTGCATACATTTATACATTTATGTAAAATCCACTCTTGCATTTAGGGCAGAATGATATAAACTGTCTAACTGTAGTGACTCATTAAACTAAAAGTTCTAATCCGAATAGGATTTGGACAGATCCATATTTACTACAGAAAAACTTTGGTTTACTGACTACTTATTAAATATGCAGAAAAAGTTTACTGACTACTTAAGTGTTCAAAGCAGTTTTATAAAACAGGAATCCACATACCTCTTGTCATTATTAGATAGCGAAGGCTGGCTAAATGCCCGATTGTTGTCTTGGTCCTTGGCATATTCAGCTACCAACGTGTGGCCTAGGAGGTGCAGCTGATGCAATCTTGACAGAGCCTTCAATTGAGCACAACAGTCAGCCAAATCAACATTTAAGCATATCTCAAGGCAGACTGATGGGGGGGGGGGGGGGTAAGCAGTCCCTTCCTCCCTCTTTCCCCTTCTAATTTAGTTTGCCTAGAAATGGCTAATATAGGAACAGCAAAACTAGTTTATTAGGCAAGTTCAACAACTCTGTCTTCCATTTACATTCTTAGGTTGCCATTCTATACTCACTCACATGGGAGTGAGTCTCACTGAACTCAGAGTATCTTATTTCTAAGTAGACATATAATGGATCGTGCTGTTCATGACCAAGCTGACCAATACCAGTGTTTGGGACTGCAATACTTATATGTGCACGCCCGGGAATGAGCCCCACTGAACTCAGCGAGGTTGAAATCTTCCTCCTAATTAATTTATTTCTAATTAATTGCTTTAATTACATTTTGCCAGTTCTTTTAAAAATTGACTTAACTTCTATTCCGAAAATACTGGCTCATTGATCATTACTTAAATGGACCATTAGTGCACATATTCCCTTTCCAAAAGAGAATACAGTCTAAAAGTAGACAGAAGATGAAAGGAGAGGAGGAGAAACCCAACTTCTCAACAGAAGGCACGCCAGCGAAAAATTTTGGTCAGTTGTCATACATGACTGTGGAGCTTATCTACAGAACTCTTGTTCATGCAAGCCTGGATAGGCAGCAACTACAGAGGGCTGTCGAGTACCGAAAAGGTGGGTTGTTTTTACACAGTGGCTCACAAGTCAAGCAAGACTGCTGAACAAGGGCTCCTACAGACTTTTATCAGCATTAGACACTCAACTGTATACGAGCAAACCATTTTAGCCCAAGAGCTTTATTCCCCTGTGGTTAACCTTCCAGTGGCCATGTGTCAACAATTAAAAGGACCAAAGCAAAAAGGGAGCCCTCATCTCACCCCTACCAAACAACTGGGCCAAAATAAACAGTCCCTCTAGCTTTAATGGGAGGCTTTAAAAATGTAATTATGGGGGGGAGTTGGTGAAATTCATAGCACAGAAGGGATAATCCTTTACTCTTTAGCTAGAACTCTGCCCAAAAATAGCACTCTCTTACAGCAAGCAAGCTGTTAAAACTCTTCGAGGAAATAAGAAGTGGGTCAAGAAGCAGGGGGCCCTAGCCCATGCAGCAGAAATTTTCCACCTTATCCTAAAGTATCTCACTGTTTTCTAGCAGTGCTGACATGCATAGGAATCTATAGCTTTTTAAAGGAACCCCACAGTTCCTTGCTCTTCAAACAAGTATGCAGAGCCTATACAAGCATGCAATTGATCAGCCAAGAGAGAACAAATGGAAAGACTTCTAGCACTAATACATACCTGAGCAGCTGCATTTTCATTGGGGAAAGTAGCAAAAGCTGTGTGTTTCTGCAAAACAAGCCAGACACTGAATTAAGAAAACACCAACGTGTAAAGTATCCATTGCACTACGGCATTTTCTGTAACAGTCAAGGAACATGCAGCAAGGAGCAGCATACTTGAGTGCTGTGCACCAGTCTTCTCAGTGCTTGTGTCACCATGTGGCAGATCTTCATGCTAACATTCAGAGGCAATGAGGTACAATTCCCATTGTGTCCACCCTGTATTTCTTCACTAATCTCAGGAGGCATACCCTAAGGCATGGGTCCTCAAACTATGGCCTGGGGGCCGGATCCGGCCCACCATGCCCGTTTATCCAGCCCATCATGCCCATTTGGACCCACTGCCCGCGCCCCCATGCACACCTGCCGCCACCCACCTCGCCCTGCACATGGGGAGGCAGCGGTTTGCTCGCTCGGAGAAAACTATCTACGAGCGAGCGAGCCGCTGCCTTGTGCGCCCGCCTTGCGGCACGTGCCTGCCCCCCGCTTTGCTTCCCCTCACTGTGCGCCCCACCCCATCTCAGCATGCATGCATGCACACCCACATGCCCCGCCCTGCCCCGGACCGTGTGCACTGCCAGCACCACCTTTCCGGCCAGCACCCAGCACTGGCACCTTTCAGCTGGTGAAAAAGTTTGAGGACCCCTGCCCTAAGATCATTCCAGTCAAGTCAGTTATCAACTAATACCTTCAAGCCACCTCTCCTATTCATAATGGACAGAAAGCAGTAAAAAAAGCCATTGTGTTTGTTACTCCTGATTCTTCCCTAACTATGAGAAGAAAATATAAAGATCATATACAGTCAAAAGAACCTTTTGGACAATATGAGTTGCCCTATAACCAAAGATCTCAGATTGACACAATAAAAGCAAAAGTAATACAACTAATGATAGTCACATCTAGTCCAAACATTTCTTGATGAAAGAAATCCAGAGACAAAACATTCTCAACAGATAGCTGCCCAGTCCCACTTGAAGACTTCCAAATAGTAAGAACCCATGAGACCCCTATGTTGTCTGTTCCATCATTTATATATTTATTTCATTACTATAGTTCACAACAGCCGGAGCCCTCTAGAAAGTTCACAACAATCAAATACAAAAGATACAGTAAAACAATACAGAATTACAGTTTGCAAGTTAAAGCAGCTAAAAACTTACAAAATTATAAAACAGTATAACATCAAAAACATTTTCATTAAAAGCTAGACCTAATTAAAAACAATGGGCGTAGCCCATTTTGGTATCATATGTTAATATATACCATTTAATGCTTTGGAATAGAAAGCATTTTTAATCTGATACAAAAAAGATAACCATGTTGGTGCCAAACAGGCCTCAGAGGGGAGACCATCCTACAACTGGAGGGCCACCACTGAAAAGGCACTCCTTGTTGCCGCTTTCTTGGTTGAGTAGCTCTTATGGTCAAGAGGTTTCTCCCACTATTCAACTGAGATCTCCCTCCCATAACTTAAGCCCATAAAATTGATCTTACTCACTGGAAGAGCAGAGAACAAGTCCCCCCCCCCCCACTCTTTAATGTGAAAGTCTATCAACCTCCTGAAGAGTGCTATCACGCCACTGCACCACCTATCTTCTCCAGGTTAGACATGCTCAGATCCTTCCACTTTTCCTCATACAGTTTCTTTTTTCTAACCCTAACCATCTTCACTGTTCTCCAATCATAAGAACATGATGTTGGATCAGACCAAAGTCCAGCATCATGTACACATGGTGACAAGCCAGCTGCCACAGGATCACTCAGGCAGGTTGGGTGCATGACCTCTGCCTGCCCAAGCTCCTCAGCAAATGGTGTATGCAGGAATGCCACCTCTAGTAAAGGAGGTTGCACATTGCCAGCAAGGCTAGTAGCCACTGATGGAAAAAACTGGAATCCTTTGTAGTGATGTGATAATCATGGCACCCAAAACTGGATATAATTCTTCAGATGAGGTATGACACTTAGTGTGGTGACAATTGTAATTATGACTTTTCTTGAAATGGAAATTATTTTGTTAGTGTGCCCTAAAAGCACATCAGACATTTTCACAGTTGGATCACACTGCTAATTCATGTTCATCAAACGCTCAAATCCTTTTTATAATTACTGCTGCCGAACCAGGTATTCCCTACCTTTTTGGCTAAATTCAGAACTTTGCATTTGTCTTTAGTGAATATCAATTTTTTGATTTTGGCTTGATTTCCCATTCTAACAAGGCCACTTCGAATGTTATTCCTATCTTCTTAGGAAATAGGGCAGGTGCAACTTCTCCCTATTCCCCACAGTAGCAAGGAAATGCTACACCTGTTGAATCTCTGACTCCCCAGAGCCCTGACAGGAAGGAAAAGCAGCCTGGCCAGGCGTGCTGTGGATAATCTCCTCCGCATCGCAACTTCAGGAGATGAGACCAGCTCCCACAGAGGAGACTCTCCCCCTGCCACTTCTCTACCGCTGCCCTTGCCTAACCAGAGAAAGTTGCTGCCTTCCTACCAGCCTCCCGTGGTCGGAGAGGACCCGTACGGACGACGCTCCGAAGTGCCTCAGTAAATCCTCCTTCTCCGGTGCCGTCAACACGGCGGGCAGATGCCGCACCAGGAGGATCCGGCTGTTTCTCCCTGGCCGCGGCCGCTGATCAGGCTCCTCCGAACTGGGCGCCGCCATATTATCACCGTCGGGGAAGGTGCCTAAGGTATCGCTGCGCATGCGCCTACCTACACGAGCGTCTCGTGGAAGGCTGGCGCTGAAGCGTAAACTTCGGAAAGAGAAGGGAAATCTCGCGAGAATGAGCGAGGTTTCGGGTCAGAGCGTCGTTCTCTAAGTCGAAAGCAGTACAGTTCAATTGCTGTCCCATCACCACTTCTGGTATTCGATTGAATTAAGATGATTCATATTTGTATCCCTCATTTTTCCTCCTGCAAAGAACCCAAGGAGGTTCATATAAGCTTTCTTCCTTCCATTTTACTCTCGCGGCATACAAATATTTTAAATAAATAAACTCCATTATAGGGAGCGGTACGAGAATTCAGGTTATGGTCCAGCACTCAAACCATTGCACCGCACTGGCTGTCCACCGACTAGATGCTGAAATGCACTGGACGCTTGCCCCTTTGAAAGCTGTAGTGCAGCTTGCATGGCAAGAACCCCTCTTTTGCATCTCGCTCCTCCAAACTGAAGTTCTGCTGACTTCTGCACATGGAAGTCTCGCTTTCATTTAATAAAGGACATTTCCTAAAGTTCACAGGGCATCGTGGAGTGTTAATACGGTAGCTTCACTTTAGTTCCGGAAGTTAAGATAGTTTCTTTACTTCTAGGGAGCAATGTGTATTAACAAGGTTAACCGCGCATGCTCTGTCGGAGAGAGTCGTTCCATCGGGCGGAGAGCTTGTGATACTCGGGAACTTGAGCATCTTCGGTTGCTTCTCCGAGGATGCGGAGGCGGAGCGAGCGTTTCACGTACGGTGCCCACGGAAGCATTGAAATAAACATGTTTAATAAACTCTTTAAGTGCTGCAAGACTATTTCTTGTTGAATCTATACTGAGCTTTAAAGGATGCCGCCACACCCATTTATTTATTTATTTAGGAAGCTTCTATGCCGCCCCATTCGCCGAAGCCTCGGGCGGCTCACAATAAACACAATATAAAAACAATATAATTTGAGTCGACCTGGCCAAAAATAAATAAATAAATAATATTAACAATTAAAATAACATTTGAATAAAAAGGTCTTAGCCTGGCGCCGAAGGCAAGAACTTCGAGAGATTTTTCTTACTGGGACTTTGCAAATCCTAAAGGTACTGGCTGGGACTTGCAAGACTTCCCCGCCCTCCTGGTGTATGCCGAGAGTTGTAGGACTTCTTAAATCTCATGCCCAGGACTGCACCCCAGAGCAGTTACCTGATCCTGAGCGGATTATTTGCACGAGTTTCAATTAATGGAAACTGGTGCGGTGCAGTGATTAAGAGCACAGGAATGGGCATCAGGCGATCTAAGTTCTATTTCCCGATCAGCCATGGAGCCAGGTTGGGTGACTTTGGGTCAGGCACAGACTCAGCCCAACCTACTTCACAGGGATGTTGTTGGGATAAGTTGGGAGCAGGAGCAGAATGATGTAAGGCCCTCTGAGTTCTTCGTAATAAAAAATGTGGAATATAAACCTAACATATAGTTCATTTTTTTTACATGTTTGTCCTTGCATCTAAAACGAATTCTGACAGAGGTGAGCTAGATTGCTTCTGGTCTGGGGATGATCTACATGTGTTGGGTAGAGGAAAGGGTTAACTGGAAAGTTGAAAGGGTTAATAGGAGAGTTTCAGTCTGAGAAGAGAAAAAGTTAAGGAATGGAAATAGATGATGTGCCCCAGTAATGAAAGAGTTACAAAATGTCCACATCCATAAAGGTGAATGTATTGTGCAAGGAACACAATACAGGAAATGTACTGTTGCTTTGTGCAAGGAAATATAGACGTTCCTTGCGCTCCAAAACAAATAGGACTGCCAGCGTGCCATGCCTCTGGAAACGTGAATCCAGATGGGCTTTTAAGTTTTGCAAGAGAAGTGAGTCACACAAGCAGTAAAACTGTTAACCATTAGGATAAAGAAGGCATGCCAAAGGTGTATGAAGATTGTCTCATTCCATACTGTTCTTTGTTATTACCTCTAAATTTCTTGCATGCAAGACAATGAAGCTCCCTATAGTATTTTCATGTGGAAGACACTTTTTTTTTTTAAGGACCACCAAATCAAGCCAGCCTTTCCTGGTCTAGCTGGGGATCCTAGGACAGTTCTGGTGGGCTCTCCATAAAAGTGGCCTCTCTGTAAAATCAACTCTGTCCTGAGGAATTTCCAAATAACTCCAAAAGTTACCTTATTTGAATAAATATTTTTTTCTTCCTGAACCAAAGGTTATTTCAATTTGAAACAAAGATCTAAAATTGTAATGTCATGCGTGTTTAGGCAGATTTTTAAAAAATCCTACAATTTCCAGAATTACCCAGCCTGCAGTGCTAGCCGGGGCATACAAGGAATTATAGGAGTTTTTTTTCCAATGTCTTTTCCCTTTCACCTAAACTCACAGGATTTCTTGCTGAAAGGTGCAGGTCTTTTTTTCTTTTATAACTTGTATCGTGTTATGCCTTTTACTCTGTTGGGAAAATTTGGATAAATCCTGTCTGAAAAGCATTACTTCTGTGTGCTTTTGCATTGTGGGATCAAATCCTGTACTCCTTCTCAAAACCAAGCTAAGTCACTGTTTAAAATGGCATTGGAATTCAGAGTTTACCAGGAAGTATCTTCCTAGCCCAGAGGGCTTCATGTGCCTGGTCATTCAGAAATGTGTAGACTCTAGATAAGGGTCTGAGCTTATCATGAATAGTTTCTCAGTAGCTTGAATTTACATGTCTAAGCAGACCTGGAGAAGGGTTCAAGTTGCGCAACTAAAGTGTCAATACACTGCAATTAGAATTATTGTAATCTCATTGTCACTGTATGATTAACTGATATTCCTTTATCTGTTCTGTATGTGATGACCTCAGAACCTTATTGTAATGTCTGCGTTCTGTCATCAATTGCCCTGTACCTGTGACGTGACTGGGAGTGTATAAAAACCCTGTACTTATGTTGAAGCTTTGCAGCGAGTTTACCTCTGCCTGCCCCGTAACGCCTTATCGTGAGTCAACCGCGGGAACCTGAGACAGACAATAAAGACATGGAGGTTCATAACGATTGATCTTTCCCACAACCCCGAGTTTTATTTCCTCTCACAAACTGAGATTTTGGGATTCTGACAACTCCAAGAAGAAAGCACACAACTAGCACAACTACTGCTTATTCAGGGTTTCTCCTTCCTGAGGAATAAAATGGACAGGAGAGATCTAGTTTTTAGTTACTGAGTGAATGTTGAATGCCTTCCTCATGGCCATCTGGGGAAAAGAGATGGAATTAAACATTTGTGTGAGTTTTTCTCCAAGCCACATTACTTCTTCAGTAAGGAATAATTTAAACTGACACCATTTAACCAATGTCCTAAATTGTGCCTTACGTGTGAAGAAATAACCTTGCAGAATTCTTTAAAAGATGAATTATAACAGCAAAGGCAAATTCTATTCAGTTTGAAGTCCTTCAGGACACCACATTAATCTTCACTAACTGACTTTGATAAATAAAAAGCTGAAGTGAACCTGACATTTGTAAATCTTTACAACGTGCATCCACTCCTGGGATATAAGACTTCGTTTCATTTTCAGCTTTTCTTTTCTTTTTTACATTAAGCAATAACAGGTATTTTCTGATCAACTGAAGCTGATGCCTGTGTGTGGCACAGGTGTGAGTGTGGGTTGAAGCTTAGCATATCCTAAAACTGATCCTTCATAGCCATTTCACACAACTACTTTAGACAGTCTGCAGTATTTTACATGAGAAATTAGAGAGTGTCCTCAGAGTAAGCTCTCCTGATGTTTTCCCATAAAATAATCGATTAAGATATTGGAGTAGCAAATGATTGACCAACTTTCTGAATGAATAACTAGTTAGTGATTGGCTTTATTCGAAGTCCCACAAAAGATTGTGCAAGTTTTCCAGAACTCTTGATCAAGCTATGTGGTATAAGAGGCAAGAGGAGGAAAAGAAACTGGAAGTCCAAGAATTAGGCCAGCTCTTGTGGCCATGGGATCTGCAGTATGGACTAAATTAAAAAATGTTGCTTGTTTACTGGATGAGTCCCTGGTCAGTGTTGAAGGTATCAGATGACATTTAGCAGATGACATTTAGCAGAAAAGAGAAAATAGTTGACATGTCTGCTTCTGGAAACACAAAGGCCAGCTGTAACTCAGGTCTGTCTCTTTCCTTGGCTGAAACATAAGACTCTGTTTGGGCAAAAGGGAGAAACAAAGGGAAACATGGCAGTCTTTATATCAGCAGGGCTGTGTATTCCCTCTGGGCAGCGCACTATGTGAGAGAAGTCATTTGAAGCCAAAATTTGTAATCTCACCTAATGATTCAAAGGGTATAGGTCAGTGATGGTGAACCTTTTAGAGACCAAGTGCCCAAACTGCAACCCAAAACCCACTTATTTATCGCAAAGTGCCAGATTCAAATGTGCCAGGGGGACAGCACAACATTAAAAAAATCTCACTCTCTTAATTAGAAAATCTCTTTGCTAAATCTTAGATATTCATTTTCATTTTTTCATAAGAAAACTCAAAATAAAATCTTGTGTTAATAAAAACAAATGTATTAAAACTCACAGCCAGTCCAAGCAAATATATATCCTTGGTAGCACACTGACCGGCCATGCGAAAGCTCGGACAAGTCACTGCTAATGAGTCACGGCCATGACATCCATCACCTGGCACCACTACTCCTTTCCGAGCATGCGCATGGCCCCTGTGTGCGCTGTTATCCGATGCTCGGCTGCTGGGGCGATGCTGGGGCAACTTGGCTCACGTGCCGACAGAGAGGGCTCTGCGTGCCCGCTGCGGCATGCGTGCCATAGGTTTGCCATAGGTTTTTGTTTTTTTTTTTTTTTTTTTGGACCAATTAGGGCACCATCCCATTCCCCATGCCCTAGATACTCAAAAGTCTCCAACTTTGGAGGCTTACAAGCATCCTTTGCCCAGATTGAGGCATGACTGGGACGAACTCTACCACCACTGCTACTGGGTCATTTCTCTAGCTGAACCTTCCTGCATAGCTACACATCAAGCTAGCATGTC